TCTCAACAAACCAAAATTTAATCGGCACAGCAAATGCATTTCAGTTGATGTAAAACCAGACATATGTACTACTCCATGCACCATACAATACAAAAATACTTAACCTTGCCTCAAACACGTTTAGTTAGCTGTCCTACTGATGGAAATGCCTTTTCTCCGCGCGTATCAATGAAAACGCATTGCGAGCCTTTTGTCCTCCTGAGGTACACACAAGCTGCCGTGCCTCTGAACAGAAGGCGACCCTCTCCCCATTCGATTCGGACGTTCGGCAAACGAGACGCCCGTCATGCCAATGTCATGCGCAATCGCTCGCAACTACTTGGGCTGATTCTTCTGTGACCACGCGATTGCACGTCTGTACGCATATTCGGTGCTCAATGACGTCACTCACGCTCAGCCAGGCTAGCTACCTCCGGAGTCCGGGCGGCGCTGACGATGATCCTCGATTCGAAGGTTCGCTCAAGGTTCTTCTAGATCGGGCTCGCTATCACTGGCCGAAGAATACTTTCAAACGCAGCCTCCGCACAGCGCCCACTGCGCGTGCAACAGTGATGCAGTAGAACACATTCGGTTGCACAAGTGATTGCAGCGACTGATAAATGAGGCTCTTTGAAATCAGATGAAGGTGATGTTAAGTACAACTGGAGTACCTGTGCAGTTCTGCACAATTCTATGAAGTTGCGATGTCTATGACAGGTTTTCACACAAAAAATACATCAACGTAAACGACTTCACGGAATAAACCACCAACACCATTAATTTAACAATTGCTCAGTGATCTCTTTCTGGGCGGATAGCAATCAGGCGCTTCACCACATATGAAGAGGTTTTACAGCGAAAGGCGTTGTGGACTCAGTGAACGTAAATTGTAGATCGAAATGGGATCAAAATTGCGTACTGACGTTGGCAAACGACATTCAATCGGGAGTTTTCAACCGTCATTAAAAATTGAATAAGATCTTAGGTCAAGAATTGTTAAGAAATCGGCATGATTTCAGTCAATGTAGAGCTGTCATTCAGAATGGAAGAGGACTTCAGGCAATTTAGAACCGTCATTCAGACTTGATAGTTATGAGTATGTGCGCTCGCACGTCTCAAAACCGTGATATCCGACGCTGCAGTCTCCGGGTTTAGGTTGCTGTCTCCGGAACTGGAAGGGCAAGGGCAGAACCTCTACTTTTCGTGTTACTTTACTAAATATGTTTATATGTTAAGGGAGCAGACTCAGAGTTATCAAGGCGAAGCACACGGTCAAGGTAATCTTTCAACGATACGAATTGACTTTGAAAGGCTTTCGGAAGGATTATTTCACAAGGGTCGCCCTCGCCTGCCGGCGCCCGACGCCTGGTGTTACCTGCAGCGGCCGACGCCGCTCTGCTTGGTGGAGACTTCAACCTCGGCCGATCCGTGTTCTTCCCCCTGAGATTGCCAGCGCGCAGGCTCTAAACTTTTCATGTCATATGTTTCCCTGGTCGATCCTGCAAAAGGACTGACGTCCTTAAGCAAACATAGGTTGTTTTTTCCAGTTTTGACCTCATTTCGATTCACTCTTTCTAACACATGTGATACTCTTCCCTTTTGCTGGGACAAGCTCGTTACCAATTTCCGAGATGCTCTTTTGTCGCCTCCGTCTTAACGACATGCATGCTGGTGTTTCGACGCCTTGAACAATGCATTCAAATTTGATTTAGTGCAAATGTTTCCAGCCCATAAATCGCAGCCAGCATTTTTAGAGAACAAAGCCAAGTTACGGCTCTGTAGATATCAATTTCTGGTATTCGCCATGTTGTATTTGTACAATGGGCAGTGTAAGAAAACGACTCAGTTCTCAAATGGGCTTCAATACGGGTGAAATCCTTGAAAATCGCGGTGTCGTCACGTGGTTGGTTTAAGTTGCCGATCATCTTACGGTGATTTTGACTTACCTGCCTCTTGACTCAGGCGCTCTCCACTTTAGAGCGGTGACGTGGCCTGGACGATGAGATGACGTGGTGGCGAATACGTCGTGTGCGATCGCCAAAAACCTCCCAACACCGGGGTTTAAACCCTCAACGTGGGTTTATGGCGCTGAACGGGAAGAAAGGGCTTGTAACTTGCCCTTAAAATACCATAAAACAGGCTTCTAACCGGAATACACCCAATTTACCATCAACGTTAGTGGGCTAGTCTACCACAGCTGAATAAGACAGCGCACTTCTGCTCCAATACGTTTCCTGGGTGTATATCGGCGGGAGACGTTACTGGGCATCATTATTTGGTCGAAACCAGGTTTCAGCAATCGACGCAGGATCGATGGTATGCAGCTTTAGACGCTGGGCGTGCATGGTTTCGAGAACGAAGATGTTAGTTAATGTGCGCGACTATTGAGGGGTGCCACGGGACCGCCGGCGGGCAGCCGCAGGGCGGGCCTCAGGCTCTGTGCGCGACTATTGAGGGGTGCCACGGGACCGCCGGCGGGCAGCCGCAGGGCGGGCCTCAGGCTCTGTGCGCGACTATTGAGGGGTGCCACGGGACCGCCGGCGGGCAGCCGCAGGGCGGGCCTCAGGCTCTGTGCGCGACTATTGAGGGGTGCCACGGGACCGCCGGCGGGCAGCCGCAGGGCGGGCCTCAGGCTCTGTGCGCGACTATTGAGGGGTGCCACGGGACCGCCGGCGGGCAGCCGCAGGGCGGGCCTCAGGCTCCACTCGCGATAGGCACGCTCGAGCTGCCCAGCGCTGTTTTGCTGGTGTTGGACGGACGATTACCGCTGTCGGTTTGGTCACGTGTTTTCGACCGACAGGTTTTCGTAACGGTTTCATTAAATATTTGAGTCGAAGCGGAGGTCAGCACACTTCGAGGGCTCCTCCGAACGTAGAGACCGGCAAATTCGTCAAGTTTTTCGGTGCTAATACTCGACCGGTTTGTTCAATCCTTCGACAACACGCCGTGCCAGAACCAGGCAGCATATTGCGGCGAACGCAGCTTGCTGCAGTCCTGAAACATCGCTGCGTAATACCAAAACATTCAGGTCATGACACGAAGGTAGACCACAGTTAACGAGATATATGAACTGCGTAATTAAAACACGCAGAATGCAGTAAAAACAGAAAATGAACAAGCGAGCCTGGTACGAACGCCAAGTTCTGAATACTTGACACTCCGTCAGCCCCGCTCAGCCAGACATTGCATTGCATTTTGCACTTTGTTTCCTTTATCTATGAGGCAATTCACGTTATGAGTTCTTGAAGTTTGCATAAGTTTGATTTTTTCTTTGAACGCTCTTCATTTCCATATCTCAGCTCCAGACGGTTGGGGGCCAAGCTCACCCATGGGGGCAAACTGGACGCTGGGGGGGGGGGGGGGGGGCTCACTCAAAAGGGTACAAATCGACACTCGTGCTAACGAGCAGGCGATCAACTTTGTTAGAGGCTTGTAACCAGTCATAAGCAATTAGGCAGCAACCAAGACGTCGGTGCTTTCAGTACCCCTCACTCCAGTCTAGTTACAAAAACAAACGCACAAAGCAAACTGCACTCTGTATTCATCATCGGCACCAGCACGTAAGGTGAGGTTCACACAAACCACGACACGGACACATTCGAATATGTACAAACACTCAAACGTGTATTGGCAATACTGGCCGGCACACAGTGCTCCACAGAAGCACATGTGCGCAAATGTACACACGCTCACTGAGTATTGCTGGAGACGACACCCGCAGTCGTGCTCTAAAAAGCCGTATCAACAGACCAGTGGGAGCCGTCGCTTACTGTACAGGTGCAAACGCGGAGCGCGCGCTCCGCGATCGCGTCAGATCTTGACTTTGTGTGGCCGCGGCGGCCACGGCCGTCCGCGCTCATTACAGCCGAAGGTGGGACTCTCTCTCTCTCTGTGTCCCGGCGCCGACCGTCCCGCCGACCGGACAGCAGCAGCTGGAGACGCCAGCTCCCCCCCCCCTCGAACCGCACAGCCGCCACCGGCGCAGCAGGGCCCTTGAGTCCGCTGACGTCAGCACGAGCCTCCAGCCGACCAGCAGACATGCCAGCCGACCCCGGCCGTGCACAGTGCCGCTGACGTCCGCACGAGCCTCCAGCCGACCAGCAGACATGCCAGCCGACCCCGGCCGTGCACAGTGCCGCTGACGTCCGCACGAGCCTCCAGCCGACCAGCAGACATGCCAGCCGACCCCGGCCGTGCACAGTGCCGCTGACCGGTCACACCGGCCCGAGTGACGTTACATCGGCTCCAAACGACGTCACGCCGGCCTTGAGTGACGTCACGGCGTCCCCGCGGCGCTCGAGCGCAGCACCGCCGGCCCGCTCAGGTACCCGCCGGCGGGGCACGTCAGCTCCGGTGCGCTGGCGGCGGGTCCGGCTGACCGCGTCCTGCGGGAGCCAGAGCGCCGATTGAGGTGCTGCTGCCCCAGAGGGCAAGTTCGATAAAATGTCACTTCATCATTGTGGCATATGTAGATGCCGAAATCCGACCGTACCGGAATTCAGACGCCATCAAGGCACTGAAGTAGACAATCGGACAAAGGTGACCACATAAATATTAATACATATAGCCCTTCACAAGTCAGCACAGGATTTAGACGAGGACTCTCCGTTAGCGCTCTCGCCACGTGGACACCTCACCTCTCTCAGGTCCTCCGGTAGCGCTCTCGCCACGTGACACCTCACCTCTCTCAGGCCGTGCCACTTACACCTCACCTCTCTCAGGTCTCCGGTAGCGCTCTCGCCACGTGACACCTCACTCTCTCAGGTCTCCGGTAGCGCTCTCGCCACGTGACACCTCACCTCTCTCAGGTCTCCGGTAGCGCTCTCGCCACGTGACACCTCAACCTCTCTCAGGTCTCCGGTAGCGCCTCTCGCCACGTGACACCTCACCTCTCTCAGGTCTCCGGTAGCGCTCTCGCCACGTGAACCCTCACCGTCTCTCAGGTCTCCGGTAGCGCTCTCGCCACGTGACACCTCACCTCTCTCAGGTCTCCGGTAGCGCTCTCGCCACGTGACACCTCACCTCTCTCAGGTCTCCGGTAGGAATGTGATGTCGCACGGCGAGAGCGAAACGTCACCGGCTGGTATCAATGACGTCACACTGGCTGCCGGAAAGAATGCGTGACTCACTGATCATCGCTAAAGGCGGACGGCTCCACCGACCGTGCGCCGCGAACTGAAACGTGACACTCGTGGAATAATGTAGCACGCTATGGAGCCTTTTCAACCCTTATTCTAGTCACCTCCTGCAGGGTTAATTCGCGACAGTCTGAGGTTTGAGCACAACACCCTCCTAATGAGGTTCAGGAATCTGTACAGTATTTGCCTAGACGGTGTCTGTCTGTCTGTCTATCCCGTTTTGAGTAGCGTTGTCCACGGGCTGAACGGCGGGCCGCTGAACAGTGAAATTTGGACCCGCGCGCCGGCGCACGAGGTTTTCCACGGGTAGATCGCGGGCCGCTGGGGTCCGGGGTTGGGCGTGGCACGTGGCCGAAGGGCCGTTTTGGCCCACTGGCTTCGTACGGGCGGCCCAAAAATATGACCCGACGACAAAGCCGGAGAGCAGCCGTTTAAAACCGCGGCCACATCTTGACGGCCAGGGGTCGATGAGACGAGAGACTGATACGTTTAGGTACACCACTGAGCGGGGAATGACATGGGGCTAACTTGCCGTCGCACATGCCAAGCGTCACGTGCGCAGAGGCGGCCAAGATAGTTGGCCGGTGCTTAACTTTTTACGTTTAATACCGCATCGCGGCAGCTAGAGTGCGTGGAGCTGCGAATCCAATTGCATAGTATCGGTCGACGTGTCGTCAGTTCACGTGAACAACACGAGTTTGTGCGACGCACGGTTGCACCAGCAATCGTTGAGAAGCCGGAGATGCCGGCATTTCGAAAAGCGGTGCCTAATACACCACCCTGCCGTCGAAACTGTAGCAAGGATCGTGGCCAACCTTACGTGGGGGCGTGTGAGCGCAAAAGCATGGAGATTAGAGTACGTTCTGGCCCATTGTTCTGGTTCGCTGACCTTCGCACGAAACCCATGGCACGGTAACACATGAATCCCACTGCGGCGTCTCGGACTAATGTCTGTCTCACTGCCTTCAGGCTAACGCCCAAGACACACAAACTTGACGGCGGCGAGCCGCACGGTCACGCCGTCCATGCCAACACAATTAAACCTCACCACACCGAGACAACTGTGCTGTTTTGGCGCGGCGGGCCGACCGCGAGCGAGCACACCATTGCGCCATGGCAGCCGGCCTCACTCACGGTCCGGGAGACCTGGTGCCGACGCTGTGCACGCCACGCTGCCGCCGCCGCCGGAAGGCCTGCTCGGCCAGCTTGGCCTCCGAGAGCGGCTCGATGCGCCAGAAGCTGCCCTTGCCCGGGTCCTCCTGGCTGCGTGGCACCTTGACGAAGTAGCGATTCAGCGACAGGTTGTGTCGGATCGAGTTCTGCGCAACGGGAGAGCCCGGTTAATTCACCACCGAGTTCTGCTGAAGGGAGGATCCCTGCTGCCAGGCGGCCGAGTCCCGCTGCGGGGAATTGCGGCCGGTGAATGACAGTTCTGCGGAGTGGAGGATCCTGGCCAAAAGACAGTACAGGATAGTTTATCAACATCGTTGACGAATAAAACATGCAAAGATAGACTGAACTCCACAGTACGCAGACGGGAAATTGTGTGGAAAACCGGTCGAGACAGTATTCTTTATGGACGGGTTTCATTGCATCCTTCCTGATGAAACTCAAGAGAGATAACTTAGCCTATGGTTTTGTTTGTCATAAACAATTATAGTAAGGATAGCCCTGTAATTGCTATAAGCTGAAATTGAGCTGTTGGCAAGCAGAAACCAGTCCTTCACCAGCGTGCTGTACTCTGCCCCACCGCAAAAGGCTTAAAACCAAGTAAAAGCAGTCGAGGAAGGGGGGGGGGGGGCAGTAGCACTGCCTTGACAGAACTCGAACGTCTTCCTTCTGACGTGGCACCACGGCACCTGAACCCGAACGGGTGTCCAGAGCCCGTGGCCGGCCCGGCGCCACCGGCTCGGCGCCGTTGCCTCGCCCACCTGCCAGCCCTTGTCGGCGGTGCGGTAGTACGGGTAGGTGCGCGTGATGAACGAGTAGATGCCGCTCAGCGACATCTGCCGATCCCGCGATGACGTCACCGCCTGCACGATCAGCTGGGCGTACGAGAAGGGCGGCTTGACGTCCGCCTGCCGACCAGAGCCCGGTCAGTGGCCGGAACGAGCTCCGTGTGGGGGCAATTACACGGACCGTTTATCATTGACCTCAGGGGACCACAGATCATCCACGGTGGCGAATGGCTGCGGGGTGTGACTCAGCTCTATGTGCGGATATGCGCATTGTTACACAGACACGGAAAACGCGTTCTGTTCGGGAAAACAAAAACAAACGATCTTTGTGAAAGCCGTGCATCATGCAATGAACAGCGAGCGCCTCTGTCCATCACCGACCCACCAGCAAGGTTCCCGCTAATTCTTGACCCACCAGCAGCGCTCCTGCTTAGTCCTCACCCACCAGCAGTGTTCATTATTCCTGACCCACCAGCAGCGCTCCTGCTTAGTCCTCACCCACCAGCAGTGTTCATTATTCCTGACCCAACAGCAGCGCTCCTGCTTATTCCTGACCCATCAGCAGCTTATTCCTGCTCCCCCAGCAGTGGGGGATTATATTACTTATTCCTGATCCCCCAGCAGTGCTCCTGCTTATTCCTGACCCACCAGCAGTGCTCTCTGCCCCACCAGCAGTCCAGCACGGCTCCTGACCATCCCTGACCCGCCAGCGGTGCTCCCCATTAAGTCAGACCCTTCTCCCAGTCAGCAGCAGCCCTCCCGCTGACCTGTTCAGCTGTGTACTCGTCGGGCCGGCCGAGCGCCGCCGCTGGCCGGGGAGCGGCCGGCGGCGCGGTCGGCTCGCCGCAGTAGCCGTGGTGCAGCAGCGGCTCCGGTTCGGGCCGCGGGCTGGCCGGACGGCTGTTGCCGGCGCTGAGGGTCAGGTCAGGTCAGGTCAGGTCAGGTCAGGTCTCGCGCCCTGCACGGTGCGAGGTGTATGATGCAGCGCAGGTCGGCCCGGTTTGGCAAGCTGGATGGGTCTGTTGAACTGTTCGGGACTGTCGAACTGTTCGGGACTGTCGAACTGTTCGGGACTGGTCTCATTCTGAGCTAAGCCTGACATAGAGCAGGTCCAGGCGCCGATTCAGGACAGCTTGAACCTCTCTCGGGTTGACGGTCGCGCTCATTACACCGAGTGGTCTGCTCCCTGAACGCAGACTCCTCACTCTGCTCCAACGACCGGACCTTTGAACACGCGTCCGGTGCTGCCTTTTCCCGCCCCGAGCTTGATGGCTTGTCCCGACCTGAGGCTGGAGCCAGGCAGAGCCCCTCCGCAGTCCCCCCAGCCTTTGCCCACTGACTGGCCAGTTAAGCTCACCGAAGGGACCTATTTCAGCTCACTAGCCCACTGCTGCCCGCTGACAGTTCGGACCAAATGTTTGAAGCTTTGTGCACTGTGTATACTACCAGGCTTTGGACTGAAATGAATCACCACCTTCTGTTCAGTCAGCAAAGTTCGAGGCCTTTTCATAGAGCTGACTCCGAAGAGAGTGGAGTCCGCACAACACGTGAGAACCCGCTGAGACCTTGGTGGTCATAGGGTGTGTCAACTACATCGGTTGTTTGCGATGTTGAGATGTTTCAGTTTCACATATGAACAAAATGCCACAAGAAATGCCAGCAGAACAGCTGGGTAGTGGCAGTGATCCCAACTGCCAGCTGCCCCTGTGATGTCATGGATATTAACATTCAACCTTGATATCCATCAACATTATGTACATCTTGAATGAATCCCTGAGACTTCACTTCCTCATCGCTGGTCCCAAGCACTTCAGCCAAGCCAACTAGCTCCCCGCCATTGCCCTTGGCATGGATCACAGAACACACACAAGCACCTAAGGGCATCACGTCATACACTTCAGAACCACCTCACAGATTCCTTTTTAACAATGGGACCATGACAGTGTGCCAGAACAGGTGCCATAAAAGGCCCAAACTTGCTGGAGACCACTATCAACATTTGAGCCTGTAAGAGCCTGTCGCACCAAAACAACCCCCTGCGGCGAAGCTGACCTGATGGTGGCCGTGGGGGAGAGCGCAGGGCTGGTTGGGCCGCGCGGCTCGGTCCGCTCGGCCGGTGGCAGCAGGCACAGGCCACGAGCAGCCTCGCCCACCAGTGAAGAAAACACCACCAGCAGACCCGTGCTGGGAAACCGGATCAGACACCTGGCGGCGGCGGCAGGAGTTACGACCACCAGCGGAGAATCCACCATGGTGACAGACATTGGGGGCCTTGGTTGAGCACAGTGGTGGTGTGGGTCAGGCACCTGGCAGTCACAGCAGGATGACACAATGACAGTGTCAGGTATCTGATAGTCACAGAAGGTTGACACTATGACAGTGTCAGATAACCAGTCACAGCAGGCTGACATTATGTCAGTGTCAGACACTTGGTAGTCATAGCAGGTTGACACTGCCAGTATCAGATGCTTGGCAGTCACAGCAGGTTGACACTATGTCAGTGTCAGACAGTCAGCAGGCACAACATATTGGCACCATGACTGTGTCAGACATCTGGCAGTCACAGGTTAATACTTTGACACTGTCAGGTGTCTGACACCTGGCCAACTGGCAACATAGCAGTGTCAGACACCTGGCATCTGCAGCAGGTTGGCACCATGACAGGTCAGCCACCTGGCATCTGCAGCAGGTTGGCACCATGACAGAGGTCAGCCACCAGGTAGGATGGAAGGTATCACAGCAAAGTGGAAGAATGCTGTCAGGGTGAAGATGTCATAGCAATGGGTCAGATGCTAGGTATTGAAAGTGATGGTCAGTATGACAGTGGCCAAGCTGACACAAGGCAGGATAGAGCTAGGGTTTGGTAGAAGATGAAATACAACAGTTTTTTTTTACAATTGTTGTGCATGCTTGCAGTTATACAGGTTTTAACAAAAAATTTGAGGGGAAAGAGGAACCATCAGTGATACCTCAGATGTCCATCTGCAAAAAGTACATCCATTGCACTAGATGCCTACTTTACTACCTAGTGTCTTCTTAAACCTCAATTTGTACCAGCTTGCATTTGTTAGCAAAACAGTGCAGGATAGCCACAACTGTGTTCATAATTAGATGCCATCATGGAGATTTGGCTGTAGTAGTATCATGGCCAAAATTGCTCTTTGGAGCCTATTTTGGAATTTTTAGCATGAATTTTGACATAAAAATTGGGGTGGCTAATCTTAATTTGGGCATCTCATGGTAGCTTGAGACATGTATTGAAGGTGGTCAGAGATCATGTGAAGCCAGAAAAAGCAGCGACATGTAAGAAAATTAGGGAGTCACAGTTTGTAAAGGCAGGAGAAGCCCTAAAGCTAGCCCTAAAGCCCTAAGAAGCCCTAAAGCCCTAATGTCCCACATTTGTATTTCAACTATGCCCTAGTTGTTTTTGTCAATGCTATATTGTCCTCCCCAGCCCTGGGCATGACTATGCATACAACAACAGATAGCCAGAGATTCACCAATACCATCAAAGCACTGGACAAAAATTTGCATGCAAGCACAAAGAGTTTTGCTTATACCAGTTTTGGCTCATTACTCTGCACAGGTAAACCACTTGCAATCAATCTCACACCAGATAAGCCACCATGAGTGCAGCAGCTCCAAAACTATTATTATATTGTTAGCATTATCAAGATTTATGTATTTTTAGATGCTGCAACTTTGACAATGTAATGGTGCATGGTAAAAGTTTAGATGGTTACATGTCAATGCAATTGTTTCCACTGGCTAGGCTTTGTGCAATTTTGGCCCATCTCAAGCGGAGCAGTGTGGTTACTTTAAAGTCAGTAATGTGAATGAAATAGTATAGAAAACTATATAAATGTAGTCTAGTAAAGTATGACATACAAAAGTGAAGTACAGGAAATCTTGGAAAGCACCTTCCCACTCCCTGGTCAACACATCATTAACCTCTGTCCCAAGCAGAGAGGTTTGTCACCCCAACTGGGGCAGGAGCAGACCTGCCCCAAGTGTATTATTGACTGGTATGTCACCATTCAAAAACTGGGTCAATGGTCAAGGATTGCTTTCCAACTATTCTTAATGATGGTGAACACAATTATTTACATAAAATGATTGCAAATATCTTGAAGATTAGCAAACTGGATACCAACCTCTGGTACAATGCTCATTTTAAGACATACTAGCATGACAAAAGATCTGCTCATTAACTGTGAATATCCTGGAAGCCTTTGGTCCTGAAACACTGAGTTCTGTCAGTTCAAATGCAATAAGTGACCAAGTAGCAAATCACTAACAACTTCTGTGGCAATATGAGTTGCTGTAAAGAACAAAAATAGCACATCACACAATGTCTTACTTGGGAGGAAGCATGACCAGTGGATCATTTGGCCGCTGGAAACTGCCATCCACAAATATACCATTTTTGCCATTACACTTCAGGTAGAAATCTGGATCCTCAAATACGATCTCCAGGTGAACACGTGAAATGTAATTTGAATGCCCCAAGTCTACGTCCACTTCACCCCGGGAGCTGTGTCTGCCAATCGTTACTCGTTTCCTTCGGACATAATACTCCAGATCTTTCCACTGCAGCTTTGCAAAGGCAGGCTTTTCATCCTGATACTGTATCTCCATTTTACGTTATAATAAACTTGCGTGGAGACATCCCCCAACACTGGCTCGACTCCTCGTCCCCTCCATTTGCGATCACCCCAACAAGCATTACTACCGGCGCAAGCTTGGGCGCAAGAGCGCAGCACATGACCACACATGCCGACAAATGGCGGTATGTTGGTGATGCAGACTAAATAACTGCCAACTTTTTCGATATACTGCAATAAGATTTGCCCACCAGTGGCCTACAAGAACGACGCTTTTCACAATGTGCTTCTAATAAAGTTTATTCTTTTAGGTCCAGCCGTAGAAAAAAGGATTTCAGAGACAACACTATCATTTTAGGCTAGCCTAGAGGCCATTTGTAGCCAATTTAGTTCAAATTTCTACACAATTCAAATGAAAACAATGGAGGTCTATGTGACCAGGTACAATGTTTTTCATGTGATCAGAAACAGTGTGCTGTGCATCTGCAGATACTTAAGATCGTATAGATGTCTACATCAGGCCCTTCCCTTCGATGTCCCTTCGGCGCTTGGTAATGCTTATCGGTGATGCTTATCAAACTGAAAACAGGCACGTTGGTACATAAGATTATGCGTCGTCCGCTTCATTCATACGACAGGGAAATGGCTACACCCGTCGCACTCGTTCATCTACACCCTCCACTACTGACGACACCGGTTAATGACCCTGGATGATACTATATGACCTTGCATATTCTCACCTTACCTTACCTTGCCTTATGGTGACTGGGAGTTATAAAAGACCACTAGGTCCGTCGGTCCCGGCCTCGTCAGGCTCCCGGTCCGGTAACAGTCTCAAATTATGGGCAAATTTATTATGGGATGTCATACATGATGTCGGCTCAGTGTAAATCGCCCAGACTTGAATTGTTCAACTAAGGGTGACGACACGACCAGGTGTGGCAGAGCGTTCCACACATTGACGACCAGTGTGCTGAACGAAGTACGACGGACGAGAGTCCTAGCCTGAGGTTTTCTCAGTTTCCATTGGTGTCCTATCGTCACCTCCGAATTGTGTCTTGTCAGCAACTCCACCTCCGACAGCGACATACCTCCGTGACACAGCTGGTATACTGTAGACGTGTCTCCCCTGCGACGACGGTAGTACAGCGAGGGCAGCTGGAGGAGTCTGAGCCCCTCAGGGTATGGCCAGTGCCTTACTTCATAGACAAGACAGGTAACTCGTCGCTGAACCAGCTCCAGCCGCTTCTGGTCCAGTTTGCCGAACGGGCCCCAGACGACGTTACCATACTCCAAGTATGGACGTACTGAGGTCTTGAACAGCAAAGGCAACGTGTGAACATCGATGTTCGCAAAAGACCGCCTCACGATCGTCAGCATCTGGTTGGCCTAAAAGATCGCCTCCGCTGTCTGCACGTGGAACTTGAGCCTTTAATCCACGAAAATCCCGAGGTCCCTATCGGTGGACTCGACTGCGATTTCGGTGCCGTCTAAGAAGGAGGCCAGCCTCGGGTTGCAGTTCCAGATATGCATTAATTTGCACTTTGTTGCACTAATGGGGAGCAGTGACTTCTTTGGACACTTGGCCAGGGCGTTGAGGTTAACCTGTAGAGGTGTCTGTCATGGGCCGCGGGACGCGACAGTAGATCCTGATGTCATCCGCGAGCATTTTGACCACGCTTTGCACTTGTTCTGGTAAGTCGTTAACGAAGATTATGAATAGCGTTGGTCCCAGCACCGGTCCTTGCGGGATACCGCTGATAACGTCGCTCCAGTCCGACTTCGAACCTGGACCCGCACCTTTTGCATCCGGTTGGTAAGGAAAGCCCTGTCCAGCGCACCAAGTTGCCTATCACGCCGCAAGCATTGAGCTTGGGGAGCAGACGGTTATGAGGTACAGAATCAAAGGCTTTCTTGAAGTCCAGGTACGCCACGTCCGCCGGCTCTCCATCCTCCACCGCGGCAGTCCAATCTTTCACGACTTCTAAGAGCTGGGTGGCGTAGGACCGGTTTGAGAGAAACCCATTCTGGGTTGCTTAAAGAAGTCCAGACTCCGAGAAGTGATTAATTAGGTCATCTTTGACAAAAGATTCGAGTAGCTTGGAGGAAACCGCAATAAGACTTACTGCAGGGGCGGATCCAGGATTTCGTCGAGAGGGAGGGGGCACGAAACATCGAGGGGGGTCCCTAGAGTTTGGGGCCCTCTAGAAATCTGCTGGCATTCTTCCCGTTCAATTTGTAGATAAAAAGTATAAAATATGTAAATAAATATGTATATGTATATATATATATATATATATATATATATATGTATGTATATATATACATATATATATATATATATATATATATATATATATATATATATATTTCATAGAACGGGAACCCATCTTACTGACCACAGCCCTATAAAACTAGGCGTGCTACATATGCACATACATGGAGCTCACTCATTTTCTACAGATCATGTGAAATCCCGTGATTTTGAAGTAACTGTTTCGGAAAAACAGATGAAATAAACTCAAGTTGGCGGCTAAACACGATCAAATCCAAGGACGAACTTCATTTCTAGCTTATTCACGGGTAGCCGGCTGGGCGATGTAATCAGCTGATGGCTGAAGAATAAATGATAAAGTTTTCCTTTGTTAAAAAGTAGAGCGCAATATCACAACATTCAAAATATGTTAAGAACGTGGTGCGCAAGTATAAGAAGTCACAGAATAGAAAAGGAAAATGACATATACGTCGTCGGCGGCACGTAAAGTTACGTTCGACAATGGCGCGCAAAAATTAATCGGCGAATATCCGACTGCTGCTCTATGGCTAAGGCACCAGCACCACGAGGGAAGAAACCTGAGCGATCATGGGTGCCGCAGGGGGCGAACAAACAGGCTCCTGTCGAGAAGTGTGGGGTCCTCAGAGCAAGCAAAAAGAGCCCAAGACCAACGTGGTTTGTCCCTAGACGACCCGTAGTGCGCTGGCAGGCTGACATGTAAGGCCCCGGTCAGAGCACAGGACCTCTAGGCCAAGTGGAATTGCCCAAGACCACGAATAAATACCCCTGTGCCATCAAGTGCGCCCGGGCAGGCCCCGACAAGAGCGTAGGGTCCTACATTAAAATGCCCGATGCGCAGGACCCCAGACAATCCAAAGTGCCGGAGCAGGTTAAATGGGCCCTCGTCAAGAGCGTGGGGACCTCCATTCAAATAGTAAGCCCCAAGACCCAATGAAGGGGGCCCTGAATGATTGAGTGTGTTCGAGTAGGTTAACAGGTACGGCTCCTAACAAGAGCGTAGAGGTGCTTCCACTCAAATAGGAAGTACTCAAGACCCAATGTAAATGGCCCCCACCTCACTGACTATGGCCCCTCCCCTGGCTCAAAATCGGCCAATCAGCATCGAGTCGGACGGCTGTCAAATCAGCATCTATGCGCCTCAGGCCTGACAAATGGGCTGAGTAGGTCAGATGTCCGAACCGGGGTCGAAGAGCAACGGGTTAGCGCCAACGAATTGCGTGCGAGAACCGCCGAAGGGTCAGAGTTTTAATAGCATGAATTTATATTTACATCCTGCACACCCTGCTAGATGAATTTTGGAACGCTTGAGTCCAAGGGGGGACATTGGCCCAGTGGCCATCCCATCTGGATCCGCCCTTGACTCACTGGGCGGTAGCTCGCTGGGGACCGTCAGTTCCCTTTATTGAGGATCGGGACTACCTTGCCAAGCTTCCACTCCTGGGGTAGCCTTTCATATGCCAAAGATTTTCGGAAAACCGTCCTAAGGGGTGCTGCCAGGACGTCTGCAGACTCACGAAGACGTCTTGGGTGGACATCGTCTGGCCCAGGGGCGCTCGAGGTCTTCAGAGCAGCCAGTTTCTTTGCCACTGCCTGGGTAGAGATACTCACGTTATCCAAAAACGGCACCGTAAAGTTGCGATCCATCACAGGCATGGCACTAGTCCCTTCATCCGTGAGAACATTGGAAGAATTTACAGAGGGCATCGGCATTTCCTTCGTTGTTGCTAGTCAACACTCCATCATCGCCAAGACGGTCTTCCACCCTGCATCTTGCGCATAGTCTTGAGTGGACGTGCCTCCAAAAGGCCTTGGGGGTTCCCTTGACGTCCGCTGCTAATTGCATCTCATACTCCTTCCCGCATGTTTCTGGTCGACTTCCGAAGGTTATTGCGACACCTCACAAACCTGACATGGTCCAGAACATCCCGTTCCCGCGTGTACGTACGCCATAGTCTTTTCCTTAGTTTTTCCTCACGTGACCTCTGGTAACTAGCTCATGTATTAGAATGATATCAAAAGATGTGTGTTGTGTGGTATCCGAATTCTGCGTTCAACTTACCTAATAAAACTGCCTATTTTGAGCTAAACATGTGTTTTGCAAAAGACGTCCATACTAGAAGATTATGCCCTTGATCAAGGTTACGGTCATATCAAAGTCATATGGGAGTTGTGCATCTGATATATTTCAAGGCCATATGGGAGTTGTACATCTGAGTTGACACTTTTCCTAAAGTGCAAACACCAAAACTGCGCAAAAATGTGTACAGCTATGCATTATTTACGAAAAATAGCATATATTAATGTGATTCCAAGTCACTTACACCACCTGTTTTTTTTTTAATCTGAAATCTGTGAACAGTTGGTACTATCATCTTCTCCTACTTAAGGAAATCTGGGCAATGGCTAATACCCCGCACAAATGTTATGCGTGGTGAATTCGTTTTAGAGGCTGATCTGTTTGACTTGACCAAGGTCGCCGATCTTAGTAGATGAATAATTTGAATTTGCGCAAAGGATGCTAAATTGATAGATGAACAGGTACCGAAAATGTGTGTTCCTTCAAACATTTTTCTACCTGTGGTCCAAAATCCGTAGGGGGAAGTCAATCTCTTCCTCCCAGCCGAGCGCGTCTTAAATGTGTGCTTTTCAGGGAGTTGTGAATCGAACTCTACCAAGCCAATTTTGATGAATGCGGCGGCAAACGAAAGATTGTTTTGTTGTGTTGAGCCGTGCTGAAACTCCCACGGCGTACCGGGTCAAAGTTTTCGTGCGCGGTGCGCCGTGAATTGTACGACTTTCGCCAGGTGCCTGGTGGTGTCAGCGCCTCGATCGGTAAAGTACCGGATCCATAATCGACAGGTGGTGTATTCGAATCCAAGCTATCCTTAGGGGCTTAGGAACATCCGTGTCTGATGGCCTCGGTCGCCGGGTCATCCTTTGAAGGGTCCGAGTCGGATGGCCTCGGTCGCCGGGTCATCCTTTGAAGGGTCCGAGTCGGGTGGCCTCGGTCGCGGGGTCATCCTTCGAGTGCTCCGTGTCTGGTGGCCTCGGTCGCCGGGTCATCCTTTGAGGGCTCCGTGTCGATGGCCTCGGTCGCCGGGTCATCCTTTGAGGGGTCCGTGTCGGATAGCCTCGGTCGCCGGTCATCCTTTGAGGTGCTCCGTGTCGGATGACGTCAGCCGTGGGCCATTCTTTGTGAGCTGAGTCTCGGTGTCAGGTGACATCGGCTACGGACTGTGAGACTGCCGAGGGAGTGGCGAGCTGCAGCGAGCGGTGCGTGGCGATGATTACACCCATTCCCCACGCCCCTCCGAGGCTCCACGGGAACTACAGCGACGGCGGCTGTTGTGCGCTGCCTCGAACCATGTTTCAGGCTCTGTCGCTGGGTAGGCGTATCAACCAGAGAGGAGCCGGCCTGCTGACCCGCTGTCCGCAGCTGACCCGCTGTCCTCAGCTGACCCGCTGTCCTCAGCTGACCCGCTGTCCGCAGCTGACCCGCTGTCCTCCCCTGCGGAAGCTGAACGCATGGGATGTCACGCGCCGCATGTCCGCGGCCGCGGGAGCTGGACGCCTCCGATTTCACGTCTCGCATCTGAGACGTCCAGCTGCCGCAGTCGAAGGCGGCGGCTGCTGCAGGCGGTAAGCCCTCCGACGTGCGTGGCCAGCTGCCAGGTGGAGCGCTGCGCCGTGGACGGACTTGGCGCTGGAGTCGGCCCACCCTCCGCAGCTGGAAGGGCTGTGCCGGTCAGAGCTGGAGTCAACGCTGGGGCGCTGCCTGTTCGCGTCCGTCCATGCCTCCCGCCGACACCTGGACTTGCCCCAGCCACGCCGAGTGACTGGCGGCGCTCTGGAGACTGGGGCGACGCTGCTCTGCCCTCTGACTAGCCTGCACGTGCTGGTCACCGAGTGGTGAGCAGGCTCTGTACCACGCACCCACGGTAACTGTTAGACATTTCATAGCCCCAGGCTATGTAATGTTTGAAAGAGCATTGAATTGGCGCAGTCCCTTTTCGTGGAATCACTGCTCTTTTTTGCATGCGTTGTTAAGTAGGTGGAATCTGAGCGTTGAATGCCTTGTTTAGTTTGCTATTCTGAACATGCGTGGAATGGCAGATCGTCAAAACAAGTGGAGTTTTGGTTGTGTGCATGGATGTGCGCGGAAAATGCGCAAACAACAGTATGTGCGGGAATGTTTGGTTTTGTGCGGCAAATGACTTACAACTGTCACTTACAATGTGTATATGTATCCGTGCACTGTTCCTTCCCACAGGTAACTGCTGCCGCTATTTAATCGTGACGTGTAGCTGCCTTACTTTGTAGCTTTTTGCTTTATGCCTTGTAAGCGATGTCGGTGATCCTGAAAAGCCATGCTGCATGGATGGTGCAGTGCGATGTGTGGAGATCGGGCTGCTGGGTGCAGAGGAGCGGGGAGAGTGGTGGTACCGCTGAGGTAAGCTGGGTGAAGTGGGTGGGCGTGCGTGTGTGTGTTGTAGGCGACTTTTGTTTCTAGTTTGCGTCGTGCGTTTCAAAGGTGATTTTCGTTTTAGTTGTGGTACGTTTTCCTTGATTGAGAGTGGCGTGATGAAGTCGCCAGTCGCCAGCGTGAGCAAGTCGCCAGCGTGGGTAAGTCGCCAGCGTGGGTAAGTCGCCAGCGTGGGTAAGTCGCCAGCGCGAGTAAGTCGCCAGTGTGGGTAAGTCGCCAGCGCGAGTAAGTCGCCAGTGTGGGTAAGTCGCCAGCGTGGGTAAGTCGCCAGCGTGGGTAAGTCGCCAGCGCGAGTAAGTCGCCAGTGTGGGTAAGTCGCCAGCGTGGGTAAGTCGCCAGTGTGGGTAAGTCGCCAGCGTGGGTAAGTCGCCAGCGTGATGAAGTCGAGATTGTCGCTCTCGCCCGCGCCCTAGGTTGTCTTTTAATAGACGCTCTGTTCTTTGCTCCGAGTCTTCGGTTACCACGGCAGCGCCGCCGACACTCAGGAGAGTCAGGTCGGGATCTGTATTCGGGAGCACGCCCGCGTCACGATCACGCGCACACACGACCCCCGCGCGGCAGCCGCCAGCTGACCGCCCTCTCCGTGTCCCCGCTGCGCGCGCAAGATTGTACAAGGGCGGATCCACGGCAATGCTGGGAAGGGTCTGTGCGGGGACATCACACATTCTTTTTCGGAAAAACCTTGGTTGATGGGTGGAACAAACGCACTGTGGATTCCACCGCCAGAACGGTAACTGCGAAGGAGTGCTCAACACAAGACCAAACCAACATGACTATTGTGTAATGAGGCTGTGTCGTGAGGAGACAACTCAAGGTCCAACATTGACCCTTAGCGTTCTTGTGCCCAGTCAGCACTTATTATATGCTGTATGCCTGTCATATCTGCAGTTCGTGACACAATGTAAAGCTCGTTTAACGCATTTACAGGATCAACATTCTGGCGTAGTGTGCGCTGCAAGCCTCCATCTCTGCCAGCTGGAGAGCCATTCTAACTACGTACACGTGATGGCCGATTGGTTGGCTGTTAGTAAGTGTCGTGAAGGTCATTAAGCATCACAAAGAATTTGACGATTAGCTGAGCCGTGTCAAACATACCCCTTCTATCCAGAGGGAGAAAGCAGCCGGCGGTGTATCGCAGCGGCTCGGCGACGCTCCGGTTGCCGGCCATGGCCGCCGCCTGGCGCAGACGCCGCGCAGCGGAGGCCGAGGCTGCTGAGGCCCGGTGACACCGGTCGAACAGGGCGGAGAGGCGCCAGAGGCAGCCGCCGACGGCGGCCAGGTCGGCGGCCATACTGTGCAGCGCTGCGCCGTCCACGCCGCGCGTCGTCAGCAGGTACGGCACGACGGCCAGGCCGGAGCAGTCGCCCAGCATCGAGAAGAAGAGCCAGTCGGAGGCGAACGCGTGCAGCCGGTCAGCAGCCCGCTGGCACGCGCCGAAGTGGCGCAGGTGCCGCGCGAGGGCGGCGGGCTCGCCGCGCGCGAGACAGTGGCGCAGCGACGCCTCGATGGCGGCGAAGCGGCGCTGGTGCTCGGTCACGGCCACATAGAAAAGGAAGTAGGAAAAGTGTAGTGTCATTCGCAGGATCGCCATGAAGGAGAGGCTGACCAGTAGGTAGAGGACCTCGGCCGACGTGGAGTGGGGCATACGGCATGGTCGGCCGCTCGACAAGCACAGCATGGCGTAGGTGACGCCCAGGACGTCCGCAGCGTACCAGACGAGGTAGACGACCAGGCGGCGCCACTGGCCGGGCGCGCGCGGCAGTGGGAACGCCTCGCTCAGTCGACGGTGGGCCAGCAGCATCTGCACCAGCTCGCGTCGCTTCGCGAACATGGTGAACACGCCAAACTGGCTGAGGCCGGTGCGCACCCGGATGAGCACCGTCAGCCAGCTGGAGACCGCGGCAGCGGCGCGCGCGCCCGCCTGCTGGCCGGCCAGCCGCGTCCGCAGCGCGAGCACGGCCAGCGCGACGAGCAGCGCGGCCAGGTTTGTCCAGAACCCGCGGCCGCGTGGCCGGACGGCCGGCAGCCGCCCAGCGCCGGCCAGCTCCAGCGGCAGGGCGCCGATCGCGCGCAGCAGCCGCGCGGCCGGCGCGATCTTGCGCCAGAGGTCGGGCTCGCGCGGCCGCGCGCTCAGCGCCCGCTGCTGCCGTCGCCGCCGCCGCTCGCGAACGCGACGCATCCCGGCCGCGGGAGCGACGCCGGGCTGGAGCGGGCGGCGGCGTGCAGCGCTGACACCACGCTGGAGCCCGCTGCTGAGACGGCGACGCTTGACTGCTGCTCTGGCTGTGAACCGTTGAGAGAGACGCGGTGTCTATTGGTGAGAGCGCTCAGGCATCACTTGAAAAGCTCGCTCTAGTATGATAGCGCTCTGACGCTGAATATTACGTGCCAAACTGAAAGGCTTCGTACAAGAATAACCGCTAGCACAGTGCTCATTCATGTCAATATTGGACACCCTCCAAAGGCCCAGCCGCCACTTCAAACAGCGGCCCGCTTTGCACCGTAAGTCGCGTAAACGACGATCCAGCGGGACTTAAAATAACGGTGAGTTTCGAAGCAGACCAGGTTATCCTAATTCGGAAGAAGCTCCACGAAACGCCGCGCAGAACAGTCTAAATCAACAGGTGAAGTTTGCAAGATCTCACTGTTATCGCACCGCCCCCGCAAACCGCACAACCGTTTGAGCTACTCGTAAAACGAAGGACGGATTACTGAGTCAGCCAAGCCCAGTGGTCCTTCTTTTATCACCTTTGTCGCGTGCCTGACTTGCAGTTTGACGCCGCGGCGTCTCCTAGGTCGTTCGAGCATTGAATATCGACTGTGGTTTTGCATCAGCGTGTGTCCCAGGATAATTGGCATGCCAGTTATTCGTTGGGTGTTGGTGTGACATGTAATTACCTGCCCGACGGCTGCTGGCGGGGCCTCTGAGGATAGTCATTGGCAGCGTGATCGGAAACTATCAGCTGACGTCTCGGACGACGGCTGCTGTCGGGGCCTCCGAGGATAGTCATTGGCAGCGTGATCGGAAACTATCAGCTGACGTCTCGGACGATGACGGCCTGAGCGTTTTGTCGCCGCGTGTGATATGCCAGCTCGCGATAGTCGCGAGGAAACACTCGTAATACCGTAATCGATATCGGCCGCCGTTGTCAGCGCCCCGCGAGTCACGCAGGAGGGTGCGCCCCGTCCCAGCTGACGCCGTAGCCGCAAAGGTTCGCCCTGCTGGCTGGCTGGGGGACGCCCACCTGAAGGAAGATCGCGCATTTTCCCGCCGAACCAATAACGGCATAACTGCCAGGATGCAGGGCTTGTTACAGTGCCGCCGCGTACCGAAAGGCTTATGTTTGGGGACGAGAGCTGGGGTCTGTTCGGCCGGCATGTGTCGGGGGACGGGAGCGGGGCCTGTTCGGATGGTATGTGTGTGGTGACGAGAGCGGGGGCCTATTCGCATGGTATGTGTGTGGTGACGAGATCGGCGGCCTGTTCGGCTTGCACGTGTGTGGTGATGAGAGCGGGGGCCTGTTCGGCTTGCACGTGTGTGGTGATGAGAGCGGGGGCCTGTTCAGCTTGCATGTGTGTGGTGATGAGAGCGGGGGCCTGTTCGGCTGGCATATGAGCGGTGACGACAGCGGGGCCTGTTCGGCTGGCACGTGTCGAGGGACGAGAGCGGGGGCCTGTTTGGCTTGCATGTGTGTGTGGTGACGAGAGCGGGGCCTGTTCGGATGGTATGTGTGTGGTGACGAGAGCGGGGCCTGTTCGGATGGCATATGTGTGGTGACGACAGCGGGGCCTGTTCGGCTGGCATGTGTGTGGTGACGAGAGCGGGGCCTGTTCGGATGGCATATGTGTGGTGACGAGAGCGGGGCCTGTTCGGCTGGCACGTACCGATGAATGAGAGCGGATTGATGTTCCCTGTGCAGCGCGCGATGCACTACACTCGTACTGCACTGAACAGGGGCAACTTCTGCGTCCATCCCAAGCTTCGCCTACCACCGGACCACGTTTGCCCCGGGTCAGATTACTCAGCTCACCCACTGTCGCACAACTAAAATGGAGGAGCCTCTCTTGTAGCTCCAAGATTACGGACCAGTATAGATAAAACATGTCCAGCCAAGCGCACTGTATGTACTGCGGGCTATGGAAAGAAACGTCATGTGTAACTGAATTTTGACTAAATTTTTTGTAAAATCGCAGCACCGTTCACAGTGGGGTACTTTTGGAAATATATTTTTCCATCCATTACTGCTGCCAACTATGCACATGCATATATATATATATATATATATATATATATATATATATATATATATATATATATATATATATAGGCATAGAGATAGATCAATGTGTGTGCATGTGCGTGTGCGTGCGTGCGCGTGTGCGCCTGCGTGCGTGCGTGCACGCGTGTGTCTGTGCGTGCGCGTGTTCGTGTATAACTATGCGTCAGTTATATATCCAGTGAGATAGACCCAAAACTCTTACACTTCTCCGCCCCCCCCCCCCCCCCCGCTCCCCCCCAACACCGCGAGACACGAGTCTAACCTGCGTTCTCCTTAAGCTAAGCGAGCACGCTGGATGGTCGACGGTCCTGACGTCACTCACGTCTGGCAAAACGCTGCCAATGATTCCCTACGCCACTCGCGCAGCCACAACGGGGTAACGCCCGTCGCTCTCTTTGTGTCGTTGTTGCTGCTTCTGCCTGTTCCAGTGCAGACATATCACGCGTCAACAACGAGCAACAACGTGCGAATGCATATCGTTATTCACCTGGTCTGGCCTTGCCCAGCGAACAGTCCACATAAAGACAGCACTCCCACACACTTGACCATAGCCAGATCCGTTCGTGAATCTTTTAACCAATAACACTAGCGCTAATTATGAATTCCGTAACCTGCGTTTCGCATCGCTCTGCGATTGGTTGGGTTTTGACCTCAAACGACTGCACACGTAGGGCAATGGTCGCTCACGTTTTTACAACTGGCTGTAGCTATCATTTACCAAACTGACATTCCGACCCGTTCGCGCGTCCTGAATAACCCACCGTAGCTAACATGCCCATCTCCTATCTTCGGCATAACATAGCCGTCTCCCATGCTACCTTAGAACCATTGCGTACATTACGCAGCGTGTATAAATGTTCGTAACAAGTTCCACTCACAAATACGTGTACAACGCGCACCAGTCCCAAAACATAATGGACACCACGCTCCAGAAGGCCGCACTTGAGAACCAGTCTGAGCAATCTGCTCTCACCTGCGTGACAATGCTCTAGCGACGTTAATGCGAGACGTGCCGCCGGGCAACAGCAAGACAGCACCGCCGCCCCCAGCGGCGCGTCGCTGCACCGCAGGACCCACCGCTCGCGTGCGGAGGTGACACTCTGAGCTCTGGCACCAGCGGGCAGCACCGGACGCGGGGCGGGAGGTCGGCGTGCGGCCGCTCCTGCCGCCGTGAACACAGCTGGTGCCCTCTCGGTTACCAGGCGCCGGGGCGGCCAGGCTCGCGTCCGCCGCCGGTCGGCGCGCGACACGCCCGGACCCGGCCGCTCCCCGACGTGACACCGCGGGCCATCGCGCGTTAGACGCTGCCTTCCCCTCCCCTCCCCTCCCCTCCCCCGACACTAGCGTCGCCTCACATCACGCTACACTCGGCGCCGGCGGCGGCGCCGAGGCCGGCCGGCAGGCGCGGGTTCCCCTCGCTGTCAAACTGGATGCCCAGATCCGACTCGCCGACCAGCTCCTTCGGCGGCTGGCCGAGCGCCTGCATTTGCTGCATCAGCTGGAACACGCGCTCCTGGCGAGCGCGCTCGGCCTCGGCGCCGGCCGCCTCCTCCTCGAACACGGCGCACACGTCCAACATGAGCTGGTGCTGGCGCTGGTAGCGCTGTCGCTCGGGCTCGGCCAGCGCTGGGCCGTGCTCGGCCAGCCAGGCGGGGTAGCGGTCCGACACGTCCTTCAGCGACGGGTACAGCACGTCCTTGGAGAGGATGCTGCTCATAACCGTCTGCATTAGCGGCATGAAGGCGTCCAGCGAGGCGGCATCCGGCGCAGCGCCGCTGCCACCGCCACCAAAAGTGCGCAGGAGTTCAGCCATGTCCGGCTCGCCGCCCATCTGCCAGAGGCGGACGCAGGGTCAGAGGAAGGAGGTCGAGGCAGACTCCCCTGCCCTCCATCCCCTCGAGGCAGACACAGCGTCAAGGCAAGGACATGCCACCCTCTGCCAGAGGCGGACATAGGGTCAGAGCAAGGACACGCCCCGCCCCCCCCCCCCTCTGCCAGAGGCGGACATAGGGTCAGAGCAAGGACACGCCCCCCCCCCTCCCCATCCGCCAGAGGCGGACATAGGGTCGAAGGAGAGGACGTGCCCACTCTGTCAGAGGGGGACATAGGGTCTGCGAGGTATGTCCAGACCTCCCCCTCCCACTATCTACCAGCAGCGGTTCGGAGACATCGGACGGTCGGGGGGAGGCGGGGGGGGGGGGGGGGGGGGGCGTCGAGGAGAGTGACTGGCACGTGAAGGCGTGGTCCAAACTCGGGTCTTGTGAGCGCGGCAAAAGAAAAAAAAACCTTCTTGAGGTCAAAAAGCACCCAAACTGGGGACGCAGTCAGAACACTTTTGCGACTCAGTGACAGCTGCACCGGTACCCTGCCTTCCCGCCACGGTGCCGGTACTCCGAGCGAGGCGGGTACCTTCTCAGCATCGGAGGTCATGGTCTTGGACAGGTCGGCCAGCGTCTTGGCCAACGGGTCCTCGGCGCCCTCCACCTCCGTCTTAGCCATCTCCTCGGCCAGGTTGGCCATCATGGACGAGAAGGCGGCCTCGGCCTGGCCGCCCTCTGCCGGCGCGTCCTGTCAACAGGGCCAGCGCGGTACGTCATGCTCATGCTCGGCCAACGACCAAGTGGAAAAGTCGAGTACGTGAAGTGAGCGCACGTGTGCCGCCAACGCTGACCACTTTATCTGATGATGTTACTGACTGAATAATGGCAATGATGACTAAATGTAGTACGCCTGGAGATCGATCAGCGCCTCATCTACGGCCTGTTTTTACAGTTCACCAGCAAAATCACGTGGCAGACGTCTGGCCTCCCTGGACCGGTTCGCACCTTCAGCGCCTGCTTCATCGCCTCTTCGAAGGACTTGTAGGCGTCGCTGAAGTTGAGCTCCTCCGGCCCTGCCGAAGACGACGCCGCGCCCGACGCTAAAGCTGACGCCGAACCTGCAGCCGGAGCTGAAGCCGTAGCTGAAGTCGTAGCCGTAGCCGTAGCCGTAGCCGAAGCTGAAGCCGAAGCCGACGCCGGCAGTGGGCGGCCGAAGTCTGCCAGTGCGCTGTCCAGCAGTTCACTAAGCTCCGGGTCGTCTGGGTCATCCACCAGCTCGGCTGGGGCGCGCGGTGCGTCGTCCGAGCTCATGGCGTCAGCAGCAGTTACCCCGCCGGCCAGCAGGGTCGGCACACGGCGGGTAGAGCCGGCCTGCGCTCAGCTGGGCTCGCAGGGACACCTCCCTGAAAGGGTCCAGCAGGGTCGGCACACGGCGGGTACAGCCAGCCTGCGCTCAGCTGGGCTCACAGGAACACCTCCCTGAAAGGGTCCAGCAGGGTCGGCACACGGCAGGTAGAGCCAGCCTGCGCTCAGCTGGGCTCACAAGAACACCTCCCTGAAAGGGTCCAGCAGGGTCGGCACACGGCAGGTACAGCCGGCCTGCGCTCAGCTGGGCTCACAAGAACACCTCCCTGAAAGCGATGAAGATGTGGCAATGTAAACCTCGCTGCTTTAATGAATGTGGGGAACACATTCTGGTCACCTCTTCTCAGACTGAATTTTGGCATTTGATACTATTCTGTGAAAACATAAAGAATAAAACGTAGCATTGTCTTAAAATAATGTTCCTTATTCAAGTCATCATAGCAGCAACATTGTTGAAAACGAGTACTCATTTGAAGATGACCAGGACCAGGACTGGTAGATTAGAGGTTTGCAATGGGACATCCATTGTCACTGGAATCAATAAACATAAACCCTGAGACACTGCATGGAAACAGGCTTCTTATAAGCCAGCCTTGCCTTGCAGTCTTAAACATGCACTGTTGTCAATGGCACAAACTGTGCTATTGACACATATCACTCACAAGACGTTTGATGGAAAAAATATGAAATTTCAATCAAACCAAAATAGAACTTTGTATAACGTGCATTAGTTGCTTCCATTTTACAAGTATTGGGGAGAAGATACCTTACCAGTAACTTTGAGCCTGCTGTAACAGCTGTAACAGCCGGACATGTTCCCACAAATGGCCATCCCAGCCACAACAGAGCAATGTTTTCATGGGCCCACGGTGGCCAACGACAAAGGCTGCTCTTCAAGGCATCCGGACCATATAAATAGCATGTAGACCAATCAATGGTAAGGACAATTAGTACCTATGCAAAAGCTTCACCTTGAAAAGGCAAATGCTGTGCGTACACACCCTTAAAATTGGAGGGCGGGGGGGGGGTTACGCAGCGGGCTTATACACTCTCCAAAATGAAGGAAGACTATGCACGGTGCCCACACAATGATACACCCTCAAAAACCTCCAGATTGAACAAGTAACTGAAGTAATAAAAAGCTTGAGTTGGGAGTGAAAAGAGTTGGTAATATTGCTATAAATATGAGACGATCATCAAACTGTCTCCATGTGCCCGAAGCCAATTTTCTACATCTCTGCATTGTAGAAAGTTTAGAGAGGGCAGTGGTCAGGTGGTTAACGCAGCTGGTCCTGACGCCCTGAGCCCGGGCTGTAATCCCGGCGGCGGTGGGATCCCTGAACGGTGGTACGGCCAACGCGGACGCCTTTATCTCATGACGCTTGAACGGTGGCATCAGTGGTGGTGATGTCACACCTGTCTGAGAAGACAAAAGCTCAAGTTCTCGGTACTGGACAGTGGCGCAGTTTTCTATGTCCCAGAGGACCCCTCCCCCCCCCCCTTATTTGGGCTCCTCCAAGAAGAAAGTAGACCAAATTCGAGGAGAAACTTACTTGTTACCCTAGGCTTGGAGAAGGACTTTTATTTTCCGCTTTTCTGCCCCTCCCCGAGCTCAGTTTGCGAAACCATGCCTTGATACCGGACTATCGCGGAGAGAAAGTGTCTGACTCTAGGCCTGAAGTGTCATTCAGGTGACCACGGAGAAACGTCAAATGAGAGCGCCGAAAATCCGATATGGGGTCCCGAGGGGCTGGCTCGAGGTCACTGAGGGGGCGCGGGTCGGACCCTCAAACACCAGTCAGAGAGCCCGCTGCACCGATTGGGCTCCCCGAGACTATGAGGGCCTCTATGGCACTTAGACGCTACCAATCTTGAACAGTTGGCTCGGTGTCGGTCTGGGAGCCCATTTCCCATGTAGGGACGAGGCCAGGAGCCGCGACTTACATTGGCCGGTGCGCCCCGAGTCAATGAGGAGCCCCTGTGTCGGCCAAGGGCCCACAGCGCCTAACAGCGGGTCCGGTGTTGACAAGGGGTCCCGAGTCGGTGAGGGAGGGTGTTTGAGGCTGCCCGACGAGGGGCCGCTGTGCCCTTCAACACTGACGATCAACGGCCCGATGGGAAGACTGAAGGGCCGTAAGGGTCGAAAGGGTGCAGGTTATCCCGGCCCATGTGGCTGTGGCCCCAAATGTCAGTCAAAATGCCCCTTTCACCGATTGTGAGACCATGGGACAATACGAGCCCCTATCTCGGCCAGAGACCACTACATCGAATAGTCGACTTAGTGTTGTTCTGATCCCTGGGGCTCCTATTTCCCCAGCGGGAACGAGGCCAAGGTCCGCGATTGGCATTGGTTGGCGGCCCTCCAGCAATGAGGGGCCCTTTGACGGTCAGGCCCCCAAAGTGCCCAACAGGGGGTCCTGTGATGGAGGGAGCCCCGATTAGGCCAGGGGTGACCCGGGGTCCTTGCAGGGCCCCTCACCCCGTTTCAGCCAAGGGCCCGTTAACCAAGACTGGGTCTCCGTGGCAGTTGTTGGACGACCTGCGGTTATCAGGGATCTTTTAGCACCAATGACGGCTCTTGCACCTATCTGGGACGAAATATCCAGACCAGAGGGCCTTCAGCACCGGAGGACTCTCAGCACCGGGGTCGACGACGATGTATGATGCATCTCTGTAAGAGCCTCCGGATCGACCAGCCGAATCCGCCTCCACGTAGCCAGAATGGCAGCCACTGGACATCGCGCACTGAGACGGAATGGTCTTTATGCAATTGATCGGAATGACAGTGGGCACCCTACTTTTCACCGATTGTGAATCACGGTTAAGCATTCCCAGATGGAATAGGGCAGCCTATGTTTATGCAAGTTGCTGGGCTCTATAAGATTTATGGTCAACATTCACAGATCCTCAACATCTCTTTAGTATGGCCTCCCTTGCAGCATTAGAAACTATGCCTTCGTCCGACATCAAAGCCCAAGTAGGTTTGATTCCGTTGGAGTAAAGCAAGTGACATCATCATACCACGCCCATAGACCATAAAGCCCTCCACTAAAGAGTGGTCATCATCACGATTCTAACTCAGGTCTGCTACATGCGATACTAGCACGCTAACCATCCAGCCACCCTGGATGCCGGACTGACGTTCGATGATTTTTAATCAGAGAAGAACTGTCTCAGAGTGGGTTGATGGATTTCATGATCATCTCATGCATATAACACAGTGAGCCAAGTTTTAGTACTGGATTCTGAATGTCGGCACTTGCTTCCCTCCGAGACTGCCAATCAGGTAAGCTCACGGTGCACAACCATCTGACAGATTTTTGAAAGTGTATGTGCCCAGTGTGAAGCCACCCTCCATTTTGGAGGGTGAATAAGCCATGTACATAACCACCCTGTTTTGGAGAGTACACACCTGCAGCCAAAAAAAAATGTTTACCTTGCTCTATCAAGATGGCCTAGATGCATCAGCATCATGCTGTCAGTGCTATGGACTTCTGTCTGCTGTTTTTATAATAATGCCACATACTGAGGGCATGATGACAACATGTCGCTGTTTCCAGTCGGGTCTACATCAGTATCTCATATTGTGATATCAATTTGTTCATCAAATAACATCTTTAGGACATCAGACACTATAAATAATCATGAAACAAAAATATCTTAGAGAGGTCTTATCATCTTACCTTCAAAATATAGTAATTCTGATAATGAAGGAAGACATCATTCAAATGTCTGTCTTCAGACTGATGACATGGGTGTTAATGGGATGATGTGCTGCAGGTGGTTGAGCGCACTATTTATGACATTTGCTGCCTTATGTAAGATCATTGCTGTACAGTGCTCTTTTGTAACATAACATACCTGTGTCTTATTTTGCTGCTTTCTGATTATTTGAAGCTTTTCCTACCTTGAAAAGGTGACTGGCACATATAAAGTTCTTGTAAACCAACACACTAACCACCCCAAACTCTGGGTATTTTTCTTCCTCTTGCGCTCTCAGATACTGAAGAAATGTTGTGATCATGGTTCACTCAGCGTACCGTGCATGTTTTGCCGTCTAGCCCAACGTAAATGCGCCGCCTCAAACACGCATAAAATGGGACGCTTGGAGCAAGGGACAAATGCAGCTTGCAAACACCATCCATATTTTTAAAGTGAATCCTTCATTGCCTTTCACACAACAAACATTTTTAGCCACGTACCTGCTTATAGCGCGCTTGCAACGTCACTCAGCTCTTAACCAAACCTGGAAACCGGTATGCGAAAACGAGTTCTTGAGCGAGCTTGCAAGCTGCCTGAGATATGGATGGAATGTAACATACGCGTCATATTTGACCTGTTTTCAGAACAGGTTCAGCTGATATTTTCAGGACTTCAATAAAATCATTTTAAATTAGTTAATTTTCTTTTTTTTCCTCATTGGAAATTACTCGTCATCATAGGATATTTGTAATCCTTATATTCACGCAAAAATAATGCTTTTTATTGTCACTTAGAACAGAGGTAAAATATAACTAAGCAAATTGATGGCTTGTTCTTGATGCAATGGCAGTAGCTGCGCGTTAGTTTCATTTACTTACACTGACACGTGAAAGAATCGGCGTTGTTTAGTAAGAGTGCATTGTCCGCGTCTTTGGTAAGTAATTGCAGTAATGCTCGTATTCAGTGTGAGGGCGAATATTGTCAGCATTGCTTAGGGCAATTTATCAATGTCGTGTTGGTCGCACCATCGACCCTTGGCGCCACTAATGTCTTTTGGGGTCCAAGGGTGGGATGCCCTGGGTGCGGACAGAGAGTTAGCTTGCTGCGAATTGACCACTGTGGGGTTCCATGCGTTTATTGTGTGAATGGACTGCGTGGAGTTGTGCTTTTGGGGTCTGTACAGAAAAAGTACTCTGCACAGTCTGGTGGAGCGGCCAGATCATTTAAATAGCTGGCTTATGTATGCTGTGAACCCAAGTGCACTGAGTTTGATCCACAGTCATTGCCAATGTCATTGGATAGGGAACCAACGTTTCAAGAATTTATGATGTAAACATAATTTCTGGCAAAAAAATCTTGAAACCTTTTTTGCTTCCATGATACATAGGACTTATGCTGGGCTCTAAATATGGGGGCACTGGGTACTGGGCCCAGGGTGGGAGTATTGCTTGGCCTGAGTGAGCAGAGGGCTTGCTGGCCACTGGCCGTTGGGGTCAGCCCAAGCCAGAAGCACCTGCGCCAGCAGGATTGTGCTGTTTGGTGTGTAAAATACTCTTTATTGCTATCTGGCCAGAGCATGAATGCTAAAGTATCTGTTGAACTAAATGGAACAATAGGGATGGTGGGTTCAGGGAGCGTGCAACAAACTGTGCTTTGCAGGCGCTGAACCCAAAACCATCCATTCCAACCATTCAGAATAGACTTATCTACAGATAGATATTTTCCATTTTAAAAAGTTAGGTGAAAATTCAGCACACTGGCCTGGCCTGAGTTTGGTGTCTGTGATTGGTTTGGCCCTAACTTGCAAAAAAATGAATCCACAGTGCCCAACATTTGTCTGATTGAATTGTGGCCAATCAGCAACAATAAACTTGCTGTGACATTTGACAAAGTGGTTTGCAGCCAACTTGCAAAAGTTTATCAGTCTTAGCATAACATCTGTATGACATTGGTGAGCTGAGCCTTGACTTATGTGTGTCAAGCTCATACCAGGCTAGATGTCCCTGAATTTTCAAAGTATTGTGTGGGACAAGTGGTCTCAGCCCTTTTGAGCGATATTACCTATGTGACATTACTTTTCCCTGTAACCTTGGCTCTGTGCTCTGAAATTGGTGGCTGTGTGCAGAATTTGGGGTGTGCCAATTTAAAGCAGACATATGCCAAAATATGTCCCGCTATGCACATATATTCAGTGTAACAGGGCTTTTTTGCTGTCTGGTTTGGGTATGTTCACTGTGATGAGGTGCTCATGGTTTGAAGTGATTTTTTTTATGTAGATGTTGCACAATTAGGCTAATACAGTAGGAATGAATTTGGCTACACAGGTTATGCATGTGTGCCATGTGGCATGTACTTAGCAATAAGTTGGTTTCTGTACTGGCAGTGGACATAGTGCAGTGGACATAGTGGGGGTTTTACCACCATTGAGCTGATTCTGCAGTTTAACCGCACGTGTGGTGCTCTGCAAAAATGTCCCTTTTCATATTTTCCTCCTTTTGTGTTAAGTATCTTACAGCTTTTTGTTAGAAGCATGCTCTACAACCTCCTCATTCCAAATTCCCACAAACCACACATGCACTAAGTTCATACATAAGTTTATCATACATATGCCTTCCAGTTGAGGGCAGTGCTCCAATATTCTGCCACTCAGGTGGCAGCGATGTCAAGATTTATTTCATAATGTAACACCCTGGCTTTGGGCTCAATGCCAGTGCCCCCCCCCCCTCCCCAAAATTGGCCAATCAACATCAAACTTGGTGGCATTCAAACCAGTATGTATGTGCCTCAGGCTTGACAAATGTGCTGATTAGGTCAGATGTCTGGGAGTGAGGTCAAGAGCAACAGATCAGCGCCGACAAATTGCCCGTGGTGACCACTGGAGAGCCAGGATCTGGTAGCATTAGCGCCGACGAATTGCCCGCAGTGACCACTGGAGAGCCAGGATCTGGTAGCATTAGCGCCGACGAATTGCCCGCAGTGACCACTGGAGAGCCAGGATCTGGTAGCATTAGCGACGAAGAATTGCCCGCAGTGACCACTGGAGAGCCAGGATCTGGTAGCATTAGCGCCGACGAATTGCCCGCGGTGATCACTGGAGAGCCAGGATCTGGTAGCATTAATCTATATTTGCACCCTGCACACCCTACTGGATGAATTTTGTGATGTGGATTGAGGGTTGACATGCAATTCAGACTGGCCAGTTGCCATGTTGGTGTATGTGTGTGTGTCCTCTTGAACTTGTTTTTAGCACCCTGTTACCTTATTAAAATTGAAGCCTGGCATCCCCCATTTCCCAATGAAGAGATTGTATCAGTACAAAGATATTGTTTGAGGCTGGATGTTCACAGCCCTGTTAAATGCTGCAACTTGTTCTGGCATCAGAATTCTGTATACCTGATTTCATGTCAGATGTTTTGAAGACAGTGACAGCAGCCATGGTCCTTGGCAAGTGACAATGGAAACAAGGCACCAGGGATCCTGTTGAGGCTTTTGTCATTATTATGGGTAACTCAGCTCTCTGTCTGTCCCCATCAAATGAAAGATGAAGAATGTGTGATGCCCCAACCAAAGATGATGATGAAATAATTAGTTCTTTTGTTCTCAGGAGGCAGATACATCATTACCATGGAAAGAGCTCTTGCGGTCCTCACCAGGATCGAAGATGACGTTAAGAAGCTGAAGACGACAGATGTCAAAAAGGAGGAAGACCTTGAATATGATTTGGGACTTGTGATGGCATCAGACCCCAACCCCCTGGACCACGGCGCCATCCGGTAAGCCGATACCATCTGTAGGAATGTTATGCAGTGTCCAGGCTTCATTGCCATAATCTAGGTCCCGGTATGAGCCATCTACACTATTTCAGTATTCGGCTTTTTAGGTGACAAGAATGTCAGTATTTTGTCATGCTATTACATCCCTGGGCTGGGGTTCGCTGCTTGTTCTTCCTCCCCTTGCTCAAAATCGGCCAATCAGCATCAAACCGAGCAGCAGTCAGCCCAGCATCAAAGTGCTTCAAGCTTGACAACTAGACGGGGCAGGTCAAATGTCTGGGTGCGGCGTCAAAGAGTAACGGGTTAGCCCCAACAGATGGCAGGTGGAGACCGCTGGAGAGCCAGGATTTTCGTAGCATTGATTTATATTGACATCCTGCACATCGTACTGGATGAATTATGGACCGCCACTCATCTACCATAATTAGAATATCCCCAAGGTGTGCTGGTTCGAAGTTTCACGAGCGTTGATACACCCAAAACCAATGCTATTATCACATGCAGGCATTGTGTAAGATGATCTTTGGAGGGCTAATTTTTCTGGGATCTTTGTGGGCTAATTTAGCCCACGCATTAATTGTGAACGATCATCTTTGCGGGGCAGTCGTGATAGCTGTTGGGGCTGGCGCGGAGCGCCGTCCGCGCCCGTGCCGACGTCCGCTTTACGCCGCCGACAGGGCCGACCGCGAGCTGTACCTGCACCAGCTGGCGCGGGATAACTGCCAGCTGCTCATCAACAAGCTGTTCGAGCTGCCCAAGGAGACCAAGGACGACGTCACTGCCGTGGTGTTGCCGCCCGCTCAGATGAGGTATTGCGGAGTGTACTGCTGTCATGTCACGTGACTTACTGCCCGGTGTACTGCCGCCCAGCCGAGCTCCTGTGCAGGTTAACACAGTGCTATTCATTTGTGCGGAGTGTAAGCGTGATCTACCGACTTCGAAGTTCGGCTTCATTACGGTGATTTTGGTTGTTCGGGCTGAGGCAGATGGAGACTGACTTGCTTTAATGTTGTCATTTATTACCGAAAATCGTTTTGCGCTCAGGCAAGCTGTGCGTCTGTCTTTCGCGCAGAAAAATGTGCTGATTGGTTTGTTTTGGCGGTCAGTGGAATTAAAAGCGACTCGCATTATGGGTGCCTGTGGACAAGTGAATATCGATCTGTGTGGAAGAACAGGAAAAGGTTGTGGGATAGCACATGCCATGGCTGGCATAACCTTCCATTTTTTTTTTTGCGTGTGGTTCGGTGTTATCGCGTTGGCTGTCATTGACTATGACACTTCCGTTTTGTAAGCTTGTCACGTCCGACACCGCGGGTGGGTTAGATAGACTGCCGACATGGATACGCCTGCTTTTTTAGTCAGAAGGCTGCGGAAGATTGGCTGTCAGGGTCTCGAGGATCATTTGAGGCAGCACAAAAATTGGCATTGTGCCCCGAGCCCCTCTTGAATCAAATCCGTGCTGAATACTTTCTTTAGGAATACGTGCGCCGTGTTCGCGGACGTTTGTACTTTCGGCAAAAGCGTGAGACCACTGAGGGCTGCTTGTTGGCAGGATACCGCGAGAGAAGCCGGTGCCGAAGCCTAAGCCGCTGAGCAAGTGGGAAGAGTACGCGAAAGCCAAGGGCATCACGCGCAACAAGAAGAGCAAGAAAGTGTGGGATGTTGAGCTGAAGGTGAGGAAACATTGCACCGCTTCACAGTTGGATGGTTCCGGTTTCCATTTGGCGCGATACGTTTGACCCCGTGTGTTCATTAACTTTTGAAACTTATGCTGCTTAAAATTTTTAGCCATGCATGGCAATGCTGGCACGCGCGCCAACCCATGTTCTGACCGGGATGAGGTCCGCATCCCTGGCTGCTCATCACAAATCTGCTGCTTAACCTCACTGGCATCTCGTGCTGGCCTTGTACTGTACTTCGTCGGTTAGTTGTGGACGAGTTCCTGGATGAGTCAGGGCTATCACCGTCCCTGCACAGCAAGTCATTTTCATCGTGTCACCGCGTGCTATTGTCCTCATTGTGTCGCCGGTCGCCGCCCTCATCGGTCCCTACTCGGCCCATACTCGGTCCCTACTCGGCCCATACTCGGTCCCTACTCGGCCCATACTCGGTCCCTACTCGGCCCATACTCGGTCCCTACTCGGCCCATACTCGGTCCCTACTCGGCCCATACTCGGTCCCTACTCGGCCCATACTCGGTCCCTACTCGGCCCATACTCGGTCCCTACTCGGCCCATACTCGGTCCCTACTCGGCCCATACTCGGTCCACACTCGGTCTACACTTGGTCTGCACTCGTTCTACACTCGGTCTACACTCGGTCTACACTCGGTCTGCACTCGGTCCCCACTCGGTCCATACTGCGTGCACATCCTGTCTACACTCGGTTTACACTCGGTCCACACTTGGTCCCCACTCGGTTCCCGATCGGTGCCCACTCCACCTGGGCTGAGCTGCATCGATTCCTCCTCAGCGCTGGGTGCCGCGCTTCGGCGCCAAGAAGGCACAGGCGGAGCGCGAGAAGAACTGGGTGATGGAGGTGCCGGTCAACACAGACCCCAACACGGACATGTTCGCTCAGGTAAGCCGGCCGCCCGTGCGGCGCCTCTCAGCCCTCGACGCCGACGCCGGGCTGGGGGGGGGGGGGGGGGACGGCAGCGGCAGGAGAGCGAGTGTGGAGCGGGGTTTCATCGAGCGCACGGCGGAAGCGGCGCCAGCCGAACGAAGCGATGCTCTAGGAAGATGGTGCGGGGGTGCGCGACACCGTGTTCGCGTGTTTGCGACGGGAGGGAATCCGTGTTATGGGACGTGAAAGATTTCAGAGACCGTTTTTGAAGCGCATTTGTTACGTATGTGCGCGTATACCTAACTCGCTTACGTCATCGCCGCGGTGCTAATAGCGCTTGAGTTGTGGCGATCATGATCACGCATCTGCATCTTCAATCAGATACACTGGAGGCTGCCGATCGGTGTCAGGGAGGGAGGGAAGACTGAGAGTTTTCTCAATCGTGTCCTTACACCGCAACCGCGTGTCTGTAGGCGGCCGAGAAGAAACGCGAGCGCGTTGCCAAGAACGAGCTGCAGCGGCTGCGCAACATCAAGCGCAACATGAAGGTGCCAACGGTCGGGGTCACGCCCAAGGACGTCTCGAAGAGCAGCACGTCAGAGGTAGGGCGGCCGACCTGAGCACATCTTAAGGACACCATGCCCGGCTTCGTTAACGCCTAGGCTATCGGTAATTGAGCTCGGTGATGTGCCATACAATGTGTCTTCGTCGTCGGGCGCACTGTTGTGCTCAAATGCGCTATGTTGCCACCACGTTTCGTAAAAATGTGCTCGATGTGCTGCTGATGGAGGAGTGGCCGGGCGCCCCTGCCTCCTCCCCACTCGTTGCCAATGAACTTTCACTGCACCCTTCACGCCGCCCTTGTCATAACGTCACTCCGCACACTTCTGACGTCGCTCTCTGTGCCCCTGACGTCACTTTGCCTACCTCTGACGTCACTCTGCCTACCTCTGACGTCACTCTGCCTACCTCTGACGTCACTCTGCCTACCTCTGACGTCACTCTGCCTACCTCTGACGTCACTCTGCCTACCTCTGACGTCACTCTGCCTACCTCTGACATCACTGTCTACCTCTGATGCCATTCTGCCCACCTCTGACGTCATTCTGCCTACCTTTGACGTTACCCTGCCTACCTCTGACATCACTATGTACCCACCTCTGGTCATTCTGCCTACCTTTGACCTCACCCCGCCTACCCCTGACGTCACTGTGCCTACTTCTGACGTCACTGTACCTACCTCTGACGTCCTCTGCTTACCTGTGACGTAATTATGGGTACCTCTGACGTCACTTTGTCTACCTCTGACTTAATTCTGCCTACCTCAGCAGTCACTCTGCCTGCCCCTGACGTAATTCTGCCTACTTCTGACGTCACGCTGTCTATCTGACGTCACTGCTTACCTCGGACGTTACTCTGCCTGCCTCTGACGTTACGGCGGCCGGCAGCTGACGGAGGCGGCGGCGCTGGCGCGGCGCAGCACGGCCTCGCTGGGTCAGTTCAGCCGCAAGCTGCCGCGCGACGCGCCGACCAAGGAGCGCGGCCGACGCCGCCAGTTCGGCCCGTCCGTGGGCGACACGCGCGGTGAAGTGCAGGGCCAGCTGGAGCTGCTGCAGACGCTGGGCCGGCGGCCGGCCGGCGGCGCCGTCGACGCCGAGAAGGCGGCCAACCGTGTCATCCATCAGGAGCAGCGCGAGTGAGTGTCGTGTGCTCGCAGCCGCAGCAGAGTTAGAGTTAGGGTTACAGTTAGGCAGCAGACCGGGCTTCGGTGTTCCGCCGAGATCGTTGCCTGTGCTGGGAGTTGGGATGTCAGACCATGCAGAGTCTGAGGTAGGCTGTTGCACTGGAGACAGCTGCAGGAGGCAGTTGTATTAGTTGGTGGTTCCCAGTTGTGTAAGGAATCTCAGAATGTGTTACAAAAACGAGGGACTGTTCACGAATTTGTGCATCTTTGTCGTGCTGTGACCAGCTGTACCTTGCCGTCAAATAATCCTTGTTCCCTTAGGCTATTTGGTTGCAACATCAGATTGGCATAATATTTTTTTTATCGCGTGGCTGATGTGGTATGAAGATAAGATTGCGAAGCCCCAACTGCGTCACCGTGGGTGATTGTTCCCCTCCCTCCCGCAGACGGGCGGCCGGGAAAGCCGACGCCAAGCCAAAGAAGGGCAAGAAGAGATGGATTCCCAACACAAAGAAAGGAGAAAAGCAGAAAAAGGCGATCGCCAAGAAAGCCGGAAAGGGCAAAGCTGGGAAAGGAAAGAAGGGGAAAGGACGATAAGGTGTTGGTGTGCGGGGTATTTTCGGAGATCATGGTGTTCGTGGAAAGTGTTGTTGCAGTATGTGCTATTTCCCCGCCCCCGACCCCACCTCCCTGAGCACAGGGCGAGCGCCGTCGGCTGACGTGGCGTGGATGTTGACTGCGCTCCGCCGACCCGGGCTTATTCCACCGACCCGGCTGTGCTCCGAAGATCTGGCCGTGCTCAGCCGACCCGGCCGTGCTCGAGGACCTAGCTGTGCTCCGAGGACCCGACCGTGCTTTGCGGACCTGGCTGTGCTCAGTGGATCTGGCATGCGGCGCGGTCGGCCTTATCGCCCATCTCTGACAATATCCTCAGGCCCCGGAAGGCGCGCGTGGTCGGAAGGGGGGCCACCAGCTGGAGGAGAGGATGGCCCGGCTGGTTGCTCGAGTTCAGGTTGGAGGAGAGCCATCAGCTGGGGAGGAGGGCCCGGCTGCCCGAGGTTAGGTCAGAGAGGGACCATCAGCTGGGGAGGAGGGCCCGGCTGCCCGAGGTTAGGTCGGAGGGCAGCCATCATCTGATGAGAAGGGCCTGGCTGCCCGAGTTGAGGTGAGCTGCGGCTGAAATACCTGGACTGGTGACGCTGCCAACGTTTGCCCCGCATGGTTTTGGCAGAGATGTAGATGGCGCCACATGTTGATCATGATCAGCTGGCCCTGCGCTGTTGTCCGGTTCGGCTTGTGAATACATCCATGAGTCTTAGCCATGTGTCGTGATGGAGGGTACGGGCGCGAGAATAGGGGACTGAAGCGACATGGTGCTGGACGGAATGCGTTTCAGATCTCACGTTGGCAGGTGTGCGTTCGTGGACGCACCTTTTAGTCGCGCTCTTTGCGGACCCAGGACGCATATGCCAAGCAGAGTGGGCCTGGGGGACCGATTTCCCAACTCAATTTAAATTGACACTGGGCGCTGGTTGCTAAGAGGACGAATGGCCATGTTTTCCCCCTATTTTGGAGGATTTTCAACCGTTACCGCTAACGAGATCCTCCATCGGCTCCCACTTTCCTTGGAGGAATTTCACCAATCGACCTTGGCGGCCTCGTTCGTCTGTTAACAATCAAAGAAGTGCCGTTCGAAGAAAGCATGTCTATGAGCGTGCATCTCAATCTAAACCATTCGGGTACATGCGCGGGTGACTGACCTAGTTTAAGAAAACCATTTCGTCGTCTTCAGTCGGACTAGGTCGCCATTTTGGCTTGTGTGCGTATATCATTTTTTCGTCAAAGCTCGAGCCAGGGGTGCTCTCTTGGCTTCGATCCCCCCTCATTCGATACATTCGGCCGGCCGAATGGCGAATACAGCACGTACTGGCCACGGCCTGGCTGGTGTGGGATGGCTCTGGCACCTGGCATACCCTCCCGTAGTCCTCGTAAGGGAGCCCTGCCAACTGGCGAATACAGCACGTACTGCCCCGGCTTGGCTGGTGTGGGGTTTGCTCTGGCACCTGGCATACCCTCCCGTAGTCCTCGTAAGGGAGCCCTGCCGACTGGCGAATACAGCACGTACTGCCCCGGCTTGGCTGGTTTGGGGATCGCTCTGATAGCTGCCATGCCTTCCCGTAGTCCTCGTAAGGGAGCCCTGCCAACTGGCGAATACAGCACGTACTGGCCACGGCTTGGCTGGTTTGGGGATCGCTCTGATAGCTGCCATGCCTTCCCGTAGTCCTCGTAAGGGAGCCCTGCCAACTGGCGAATACAGCACGTACTGGCCACGGCTTGGCTGGTTTGGGGATCGCTCTGATAGCTGCCATGCCTTCCCGTAGTCCTCGTAAGGGAGCCCTGCCAACTGGCGAATACAGCACGTACTGCCCCGGCTTGGCTGGTGTGGGGTTTGCTCTGGCACCTGGCATACCCTCCCGTAGTCCTCGTAAGGGAGCCCTGCCGACTGGCGAATACAGCACGTACTGCCCCGGCTTGGCTGGTGTGGGGTTTGCTCTGGCACCTGGCATACCCTCCCGTAGTCCTCGTAAGGGAGCCCTGCCGACTGGCGAATACAGCACGTACTGCCCCGGCTTGGCTGGTGTGGGGTTTGCTCTGGCACCTGGCATACCCTCCCGTAGTCCTCGTAAGGGAGAGAGGGAGGCTGTCCTTTGCCTACAAAAATATATGTACAGATCAGACCTAAATCACAAAAATAATACACAGAGAGCGGCGTCGGTTCTTCCCCAATCGGCATTCAAACGATGTTGCTATTTGTGAACAGCGCATATTTGTAGTTCAGCCCTGCTGATTTCACCCGTATTTGTAGTTCAGCCCTGCTGATTTCACCCGTATTTGTAGTTCAGCCCTGCTGATTTCACCCGTATTTGTAGTTCAGCCCTGCTGATTTCACCCGTGATTTCGAACTACTGAGACCCCAGTCATCACGGCTGTATCTTCACTGGTTTGGTCCGGTTTGGACCGGTTTGGTCGTGCGACAGGACGGAGACACGAAGCAGCACATGACGGAGGGTAGCCCGGTCTCTCTAGCGATGCCCACATCCAGACACTGTGTGTGTGATGACGGTAGATACAAAACGCGTGTCGAGATATCTGCGCGTTCATTATGACGTCACAGCGGACAGTCTTTTACGTTCCTGAGCTGAACTATTGGGATGTCAAACACAGCGTAACAATCCCATCGTATTACATTTGATCGCACTGCTCTGATTTGTACACTTATCGATATGGCGAAGCTATGCCTCAATCGTCTCACGTCATATGGCACTCCAGCAAATCGCGCCCAAGATAATAAACGGCATGTGAACGGAACGGAAACGGGCTGAACGGAGCAACACGATGCCGTTTCGCCTTGAGGCTGGGTTTGGTGTCATAGTTGTACTTTAGTATCCAAATACGAAGGCAAGCGGTCTGTGGTATTCACAAAGATGCACGTTAGCGTGTTCATTCGGTCTGAATCAGATATATCACGACGTGTTTTCGAGATCATACACGTACATGAAGCATACACCAGCGTGCGTGGACATGGTTTGCTTACAGACGAAGAACAGAAAGTGAAAATTGTTTATCTTTATATAATCAGCCAGCTTTTCCGCCATGCGTGAAGGAAATGAAAGTGCCTACATCCCATGATTCCAAAAACAATCAAGTTCGGGGGGGGGAGGGGCAGCAAAGCATGACGTTTCCAACAAGCCGCCACACCTAAACATCATATTGCACATAATTGTATGTGTACACGGACCTCCTGTTTCGCGTTACATCTACCGCCGCAGGTATGCCCGCTCACAACTGGCGTGTGATCAGCACAGCCCTGGCCTCCATTCACCTCCCTTCACAAGCTAACCTCACCCTCAGGCCTATCATCACGTCTCACACGTGGCCACGTGACGCCCGGCACTAGGCCAACTGCAGCACAAGGTGTTCTGACAGGTGATGAAGAGATCGGCTGTGTTCGCTCAGCAGATATGTGGATGTCACCATGCTGCTGCAGGCAGCGTCCCCGCCATGTTTGGCGGCGCACTCGCAGCAGGCTGCTGCTGGTATTACCAGCGAGCTTTGACATGAGCCGACAGAAGCCGCTGAGGGGGAGCCGCTGGTGGGACTCTCCCTCTCGCCTCAGCCGACAGACACCACTGAAGCGGTGCCGTGAAAAGATGAAAGGACGTCGCTGGGAACCTCTCACACGAGCGGCACCTGACATTAGAGGTGGGCGCCGCTGAAGGGGTGTCACCCTCTGCCACCCTCTCATATCAGCAGACAGACGCCGCTGAAGATGTGCCACCCTCTGCCACCCTCTCACATCAGCAGACAGACGCCGCTGAAGATGTGCCACCCTCTGCCACGCTCTCATATCAGCAGACAGACACCGCTGAAGGGGTGCCAACTTCTGCCACCCTCTCACATCAGCAGACAGACGTCGCTGAAGAGGTGCCGCCCTCTGCCACCCTCTCATATCAGCAGACAGACGTCGCTGAAGGGGTGCCACCTTCTGCCACCCTCTCACATCAGCAGACAGACGCCGCTGAAGGGGTGCCACCCTCTGCCACCTTCTGATATCAGCAGACAGACGCCGCTGAAGGGGTGCCACCCTTTGTTACTCTCTCACATCAGCAGACAGACGTCCCTGAAGGGGTGCCACCCACTTCCACCCTCTCACATCAGCAGACAGACGCCGCTGAAGAGGTGCCACCCTCTGCCACTCTCTAACATCAGCAGACAGACGTTGCTGAAGGGGTACGACCCTCAGCCACCTCTCATATCAGCAGGCAGACGCCGCTGAAGGGGTGCCACCCTGTGCCACCCTCTAACATCAGCAGACAGACGCCGCTGAAGGGGTGCCACCCTGTGCCGCCCTCTCACATCAGCAGACAGACGCCGCTGAAGGGGTGGTGCCGGTGCGGCACTATAACCAGAGGCCGCGATTTCGACTTGTACTGGATGTAGGCGGGTGCCACCGGGGCCAGCTCCACCGGCTCGCTCGGCTGCACCTCGTGCACGAAGTAGGTGGACATCATGCCCTTCCCCTTCACCGGGATCTGGCCGCGCCGCTCGAAGAAAAAGCGCGGGTTGGACCGCAGACACCTGGCGACAGCGGCCACCGCTGACCCGGTGTCGGCGGAGATGTCTGGACGGCGTCAGCCAGACGCGTCGGCGGACATGGCGCACGGATTATCGTGACAGAAGCAGGGCCATAACGCGACGCACTCATTACATAGTCGGCGAATGATGATGCATCGTAACGATTAAGCAAATAATACAGAATTAAATCAAACCACAAAATTGTGATTTATTCCCAATTCTGCACGCAATCATGCCGGCACTGCGGATGAAGAAACTGACCGCGCTAACGTGCTGTGACTCTTGCCAGTACGGCTGACTCGCGTATACACGCCGTGGCTATATCCGCGGCAGCTGACTCACGTTTAGGTGCAGTGGCTGACTCACGCGCGGGTGCAGTGGCTGACTCACGTGTAGGTGCGGTGGTTGACTCACGTGTAGGTGCAGTGGCTGACTCACGTGTGGGTGCAGTGGCTGACTCACGTTCAGGTGCAGTGGCTGACTCACGTTCATGTGCAGTGGCTGACTCACGTTCATGTGCAGTGGCTGACTCACGTGTAGGTGCAGTGGTTGTCTCACTGAGGGTGCAGTGGCTGACTCACGTTCACGTGCAGTGGCTGACTCACGTGTAGGTGCAGTGGCTGATGTGGACGTGACCGGACAGGCCGTGCGACTCCATGCGGGAGGCGGTGTTGACCGTGTCGCCGAAGAGACAGTAGCGCGGCATCTTGACGCCCACGATACCGGCCACCACCGGGCCCGTGTGCATGCCCACCCGGATCTGCGGCCGCGGACGGGCAGTTGGTGCACCGCGGCGTAGCGCCACGCCGCTCACGCTCGCGCGCCGGCAGAGACCGACCGCCGCCGGGCGTAGCCGGCCCGAGGGCGCGGCTTGGCTCCGCCTCTCCGGCTTCACAGGTCTGTCGAGGGGTCTGACGGGGCACTCACAGCAGGCACCTAGCTGGGGCAGGGAGGGAAGGGGGGGGGGGGGAACGGTTGCGCCCTCTGAGGTTAAGACAAGATTTTGATCGATTTCCCGAAAATTCGGTCCAACTTCGTAGGAGTTGGAACAAAATTTGATATTTGCCCCCCCCCCCCTCCGAGACAACTGTTGACTACGTGCTTGGCTCAGAATTCTATTAAAAGGTCTACGGAAGCTAAGAGTTAAGAACGGGGGTGACAAAAGATGTGACGCTTCCTTCGCTCACAGTGCACATGCTTGCGTCACATGCTTGTTGTACCACGTGTTCCACTTGTGAATTTGGACGAGGGATACTTGATTTAATGGACGCGATGCAGGTCGTAGGTCGCGAGCTTTTCCACGAAATATCGCCGACGGCGGTGATCCCGCTGGCGCTCAGACGTCCTGGCGGCACTGGGATTCGAACCCCAGCCCTCAACGTAACAGCCCAAAACACGTGACACTCCACCTCCAACAATATCACACGGGAATCATCTAACCACGTCGTCTTACTCACGCGCCCTCCCGCCCTCGCACCGCCTCCCGCCGCGGCTTACACGCACCTGCACCTGCTTGTCCGTGGTGGGGACCAGCACATGACCTGCGCCACGGATCATCTGGTGCGCCTGCGTGGCCACCAGGGCGGCGTGCTCGGAGTTCACCTCTGGACAGCCTCCCACCACCATGTACGCGTCACCAATGGTCTCCACCTGTCGGGGAGCAGGTGAGTTCACCACAGGACAGCACCGTGTACGTGGGTACGTGTCACATGTACGAGGCAGCGGGGCTAGTGCTGCAGCTAGAGGGGCGCCAAGGTCGTGCTTTGCCACCCTGTATATTCGACAAAAGCGTAAGGAAACCACCCCGTTTTGTTTCTGTTTAGAGTTGTCGTTATGAAATCGTGCTTTGGCCTTGCTTTAGTTCAGAAATATCTTACTTTTTACAGATATAGGTCATATCGCATGGCAGAAGTACGACACATTTACATATTTGTTGTGGAGAAGCATACGTGATCAACTGAACCGGCCTTCTAAGATGCTCGGGATTTGGTGGTCAATATTTGCAATTAACACAAACCCATCAAAACCGGTGTCTCAGAAAGTTGAGTGGAAGTTTTCTCATGGTGACCAAAATGCCCAGTTACTTCGGAACAAGATATTCCTCAGGTTATGCGTTTTCTGCGAAGAAGGTAAAAAGGAAGTTGCGAACAACCAATATTTCGTACGGAATACTTTGTCAAGACGAAATTTATGCTGTTTCAGTCGGATATTGATGCGCAAAACATACAGGCTGTTTTACTATCTTTGATGAAGGGTCAGAAGTTGTGAAACACCAAGATGGCGTGAGGCATTCACACAAGGAAAAGCGAGAATTACCGCATGAACGTAAGATAACTTCTTAACTTAACCTTATTTCATGTTTAGCTTTGTTCTATCTTATAGTTTTTTATAACAATGCATTTCTTTATTCATTATCATTGTTGCACCCTTCCTGAACGAACTGCACAAAAAGACCTCCACGTGGACAATGACTCGGTTTAACACGCGCTCGGGTGGGGGTGAAATTGATCCCCCGAAGGTTTTTCCAAAATGGCTTCCGAACGGCGCGGCGAAGCCGCGCGAAATTTTGTACAGCTATAGACAATTGAATAGCAGATCGTTTGAAATCACAAATTAAGATGTACCTTGTAAGGTCACTGACCTATGGCAGGTCAAAGTCAGGGCATGGTTTCAGCGAAGGCAATTTCTAGGGAATCCTTCAATTTGATCCAACAACGGAGTGTTAGATGAAGCCATACATCTCTGAGTTGCTTTCTTAGGCAACACAACAGTTGAATGAGCAAATTGCCTTGACCTAAGTTCAGGTATGAAGGTCACACCAAGGTCAAAACCAACCTGTCTTGTTACTCTACGGCTTGCCGTATGAGATAGTTTCTGGTGGTCATTTCGAGTTTATTGGTAGCAGAAACCGCATTACACATCCTCCATGGACTTTTTAGAGGCCAGAATAGATCATTGACCTAAAATTACCCAGGTCAGCATTTTGTTTTAGGAACATACTGCCTAGCGTAATCTTTGTCACCTAGTCAAATGCAAAACTCAAAGCAACCTGGTATGATTTTGTTCACCTTGACCTTAAAAAGATCAAACAAGGTGAGTGACCTTGAATGAAAATGTGGCCTTTTGCTTAGCAATGGTTATCTAGGTTCTGAAGGCACTTTCGAGACAGACCTGAAACTTGACCTTATTATTTGACCTTTTTAACCCGAAGGTCGCGACCTAGCAGCCTGAAACTTTGACCTAAATGAGTTCACGTACAGGTCAACACACCCTGTAAATTTGGTGTCTCTACTAGCTTTCTTAGTTCCCGAGATCTCAGGGGGGTCAAATTGCCCCCCCCCCCCACCCGAGCGAAGCGTATCTAGCCGGCCACCCGGGCGCATGTTAAGAGCGAGTGCGTCGGGTAGCGTTAAGTGTCGACATGGCTTACGCGCATTCAGCTGCGCTGCGCAGACCATGTGACCAGCGCGTCAGAGGTAGCACCATTAAAAACGTGATATGCAGAGCAACAGTTGCACTGTAGGTATTCGCTCATATATTTGGGTTGCGCAAATCGCACCAATTTACAACTGGTAAAGATTAAACAGAAGTTGCTTCGACACAAACGCAATATCATATTTTTTCTTATCATATTTGCCCATACGATGCGAAGGCGCTCGTTGCAATATTGTTTGTTTGACGCGTATCCTCTTGGGGCCTATTCCAATCCTGGCCAAGTCAAGTTTACCGGCGAAATTTGACAAGCCGTGGAGTGGGGTAGCTGATGTTAGATTAGCTTGGAACCTGACTGGCGATCAGGCAACGAAATGCGTCATTTTGACGCTGGAATAGTTGGTTTAGAGTTATCAAGCAAGTCCTTAGCCCCCTTTTATCATAACCATGCAGCCTACCTCGTCGTCACCCATTAAACGGGCACCACCAAACTGCACGCTGGCTTAGCACCCACACTGCCGGGCCAGCTACCGACCTTATACACGTTGTTGTGCTCAGTCAGCTGATCGAAGTAGGTGTACAGCTGGTTGAGCAGCTGGACCACCTGGACCGGTGTGCAACTGGCCGCAATCTGGGTGAAGGTCACGACGTCGCTGAAGAGGACTGCCGGCAGATGGGATGTGGTGGCATGCTCTGAAGCGCGCTCTTATCAATGGAGGCTGGTGGACAATGGAAAATTATGCCGCGTGAAGAAAGCTGACAGCTCTAGACGAGGCGCTTCCTGCAAAAACACTCCCCGGCTTCCAGTCTAGGGAGGCTGAACATATCACGATCCGTAAAGGAAGCTGCAGGCAGACGCAGGAGCATGTTCTCCAGCATCGCCAACCCGCTGGCACTCAACGGAGACTCGATACAGTAAAACGAATGGTAACTACATATTATGGAGGCAGCCTTTAGCGTGTTGAAGCAGTGCCCCTAATGTCACCGAGCAACGGAGCATGGTGGCATGGAAGCACATGCCGAGAGCTGTCGGTAGGAGCGGAGGAATGGGTTGAAGCAGGGCTTTCGGATCCAAGCTTCACTAAGACTCGATACATGCCACCCCGTGATAGCTGTCAGCCGGCACGGGGTATGTTCTGCTGAGACTCGCCACATAACACTCCGTGATAAGGACTGTCGACTGGCGCTGAGTACGGTCCGCTGAGACTCGACACATGGCATCCCGTGATGATAACTGTCGACTGGCGCTGAGTATGGTCCGCTGAGACTCGACACATGACATCCCGTGATGAGAGCTGTCGACTGGCGCTGAGTATGGTCCGCTGAGACTCGACACATGGCATCCCGTGATGAGAACTGTCGACTGGCGTTGGGTACCTGTGTTCAGAAGCGGTGCTTGGAAGCCATTTTTGATGGATACTAAACTCATCGAATTACTCGTGGAAATTACACGTGTGCTAAATGCCAGAAGCGTCAGGGCATGTTTTCAACAAAGTGAATTTCAGTCCGCTGAAGCTGATGCTGACACTTTCTGGTTTTTATCGGTCAAAAATGACATAAACTGGCAAAAACTCACCAAGCCAAAACACGGCTCGATTTTCGGCTACCTTGGCATATTCTGATTACATCTTTTCCTGTCCAACCGAAATATCGGTAGCAGGACGCAGGTATACAACGGTAAAACGTGTCGCATATTTCCTATAATAGGTTTACAAATTAGTGTTGGGGCGCATGCACTAAGACCATTGGCCATGGATCGTAATTCGCAACTAATCCTTTCACAATCAGCTGTAACATGGTACCACCCGACCTGGACATATCAACATGGATTAATCACCTATTTGATGCCTGAGATTTTGCAGGTGAAGCAGGTAAGAGCTTCTAGGATAAAATGATGCTGCATTGTTGTCTGTCTTCATGCCTGATACATTTTTAAAATATAGTTTTAGGCTTGTCTTGCAATCTGGTGTTTACATTGCGTATTTTTGTCACAGTCATATCCGGCAATGTTAGGGTGGGTAATGTTAGTTGGTACTGCTTTTGTGAGGTCCTTCCGCTTTGTAAGGAAATTTAGCTAACCGGCTTATCATGAGGGGTGATCATCTATGATGAAAAGTACCAATGGATGGCAATCGTTGATCACTTATCAACTGTTGGGCTCCTAATACTTCAATAACTTCCAAGTTTCATCAACATAAACAGTGGTCGGTTTCATCAATCTCCCTAACAGGGCAGGGGTACTAACGAGTGGTGTGGACGAGGGGGAGGCTAATGAGCCTAACGAGGGGGAGGCTAACGGTCCCCCGTTGGAGGTGGTGAGAGACTGCTAGGGTCGACGTTCCAGCTCTTTTTTGGAGGCTCATGGTGCTCGCAAGAGCTCTAAAACATCAACAACAACAAAACGGAACCCACGAGGCATCACGATAGTCCCGAGCTTAACGAGTCGTTCTGATTTCAAAAACATTGCCCCTGTAGCAACTAAGAGGAGCCCTTGGCTTCAAGGACCGCCAACAGCTGAATGGCCCACTCCTGGGCGGAGTCCTGGCCACGCCACTGGGACCTACAATGCTGTTGGCATCAGTAGTTAAGTCTACAGGATCACCGTGTACAGCGCGAGCTCTGACACGGGCCGACCGACAACACCCGGGACCGGCACTGCCAGACCGGCGCCAGGAGCGCCAGCTGACGACGCCGCCCCGCTGACTCGTCACTCACTCGTAACCTCATCGAACGTCTCCTGCACGGGCTCGTCACTCACTCGTAACCTCATCGAACGTCTCCTGCACGGGCTCGTCACTCACTCGTAACCTCATCGAACGTCTCCTGCACGGGCTCGTCACTCACTCGTAACCTCATCGAACGTCTCCTGCACGGGCTCGTTGCGCTTCAGCTTGACGGCCACCAGCGGCGGGATCATGGAGTGCAGCAGCTCGTCCGTGCGTCGCATCTCCTTCTGCAGCGCGGTCGCTGTGCCGGCCAGCTCCGAGGTCGTCTTCTCCAGCTGCTGCCTGCCGTCGCCGGGGGCGGGGGGGGGGAGGAGCAGTTATGTGCAGCTGGTGCCAGTCGCCGCGCCAGCAGGCCGCTCGAATGGCCTGATGGTGAGGAGGTGAGGAAGTGTGTGTGTGTGTGTGTGTGTGTGTGTGTGTGTGTGTGTGTGTGTGTTTGTGTGTGTGTGTGTGTGTGTGTGTGTGTGTGTGTGTGTGTGTGTGTGTGTGTGTGTGTGTATGTGTGTGTGTGTGTATGTGCGTCATTGGGACTTTATTACGCACTCAGCTGCTGAGGCTTCATGGCGTCGCCTGCATCTCACCCTGGCAGACCGGTGGGCACCGCTGGGAACCAATGCCCGTACCTCTGGTTTCTCAGACGCGCAGTGGTTATAGGAAGGGCTATCTTCACGCGTATCTCTCGTTTGTCAATGATGTGTAGTGTTAAGAAACGCTCTGCTGCTGTGGGGAATTTCCTCTACGAGTGCTGGTGCTACCGCATCAGTCGCTTTGTTTTCACTGCCATGAGTTGGTAATAGCTAAGATATATCTTTTAATCGGTCTTTAAGATGGTGAACAAAGCAGAGATCGTAACACGTGGGACCTGGCCGATGTGTGTATAAATACGCACCAGACCAACACACCGTGCATTGATCTAAACCCTATCATACAACCATACGATACAAAACCAACGTGACCAGCCTCAAGCATCCCCCCACCCAGATGTCCTGCTATCGCGTCGTGCATCGCACTGCATCGCCTTGTCTTCGGGGAGCGTGGTGTGCTACCCTCTTTTTCGGCCGGCGCCGGCTGTTGTCGGCCAGGCCCGGCGGAGGCGTCCACCTCTACTGACATGACGTCGAACTCGATGCCGCGCTGGTCCTTGAGCAGGATGAGATCGCGCGTAGAGTCGTGGCTCGGGATGTCCGAGATCTTCAGTGCCATCCGCTCCAGGTCGCGCACACTGCGCGCCAGCGGCGAGCCCAGGTACAGGAACAGGGGGGCGTCGGTCAGCTCCAGCGGCGCCCCGTCCGAGGCGGCAGCCATGCCCACGATGCTGCCTGCCGCCGGGCATGAACAGCGTGAGCTGGACCGCAGCGCAGTCAGCTGCTGAACCGTCACAATCAGCTGGTGAACCGTCACAATCAGCTGCTGAACTGTCACAATCAGTTGCTAAAACCGTCACAACCAGGTGCTGAACTGTTACAATCAGCTGCTGAACCGGTACAATCAGCTGCTGAACCGTTACAATCGGCATTTGAACCGTTACAAGCAGGTGTTGGGCCGTTACAACCAGCTGCTGAACCGTCACAATCAGCTGTTGAACGGTGTGCGGCATCTTACGCTTGTCGAAGGCACGGTGCTTTCGATTGCAGTGATCCCGACTCCAGTTCGACACTGCCTGCGCGCCCTACACAAGGCTGAAGCTCGACAACGGATATAACATCAGACTTACTCCTCTGTGTGCTGATTTGATCACGCACGTGGTAAATTTCAAGATGAGAAAGTTTATCTGTCCGTGATGATGACAAGGCCATCCGATTCCCCGACCTCTGGACGCGCAAGTTATAATCACCGGCCACCACACCTGAATAAACACGTGCTGATGATGTTAACTGAGCCATTCACCGACCTGAGCACCGCCCGTGGGTGAGCTCCAGGCACCGCCAGAGGTACACGGCATGCATCACAATGAACACCGAATCTGATCCGACACTACACCGCAGCGCCAGTCGCCGTGTCCACACAGAACATGTCCACACGAGACGCCAAAGCCGCCGCCCCCCCGAGTCGGTAGCGCCTGCTGTCGCACCTTTCAGACAGAAGAACCTCTTGCCGCTGCGCGTGACCTTGCGGTACTCCAGCTGGAACACGAGGTTGGAGAAGCGCTCGATGTTGGCCACCGAGAGCGTGACCTCGGGCCAGGTCATGCAGAAGACGTGGTCGAGCCGCGCGCCCTCCAGCTGCGTCTCTGGGATCTGCGCGCCGAGGCCGGCTCCCGTCTGCAGGATAGTCAGCCGTCTGCGGCAGACACCGCCGGCCGTGAGCGCCGGCGGCACCCGCCGTCGGCAGTGTGCCGACTGGAGGATGGTGAGATGGGGGGGGGGGGGGGGGAGGGAGAGGCGATAATAGGATGGGGTCTGGGCTATTCCAGGCGGGATGTAAAAGTTGAGGGCATGCCCGCCATTCGCTCTGTCCGCCTCCCAGGCCGGCTATCCGCCCCTGGATGCCATCTTTCAGACTATGGCTCTAGTTTCCTGGAGCTGACTGTTTTCCGAAGAACAGAAACTTCCTATCCCGACCTCCATCTGTCAGCGCATCCATACTGTAGCATGGACTAGTGCGTTAGTAGCTCTCATCCAGACTGTAACATGGGCTAGTGCGTTAGTAGCTCGCATCCAGACTGTAGCATGGACTAGTGCGTTAGTAGCTCGCATCCAGACTGTAGCATGGACTAGTGCGTTAGTAGCTCCCATCCATATTGTAGCATGGACTAGTGCATTAGTGGCTCGCATCCAGACTGTAGCATGGACTAGTGCGTTAGTAGCTCCCATCCAGACTGTAGCATGGACTAGTGCGTTAGTAGCTCCCATCCAGACTGTGGCATGGACTAGTGCGTTAGTAGCTCGCGAATGACCCAGAACGCATCTGAAGAAAATGCGGATGCCAGACAGATGCAAAAGTTTTGTTACCGAATCTTTGGAAGGGACCTGAATCGGGGTTTATAAAAAGATGCATAAATTCCTTCAAAGACCTTCCTTCAAAAGACCTTTAAAAGACCAACAGAAGAGTATCTGTGATCTATCCAAATGTTTGGTGGGATCCCTCTGGATCCGAGGGTTAGCATCTTTTAAAAAGCAGATGAAATGCAAGACTCGCGAATTCGTGTCACATTCATCACATCACCTAAACTAGTGCAGTGCCTGACATATGTGGAGAATGCAGAACAGGCTCATAACTCAACGAACACGCTCATCATGGCTCTCCGGCAGCCTGCTACTAGCACGCCATCGGGTGGAAGAATTTGAGAATTTGAAAAAGAAATTTGAGAATTTTGAGAACTTGTGAATTTGACCCCCGAAGGCCTTTTCAAGGTAGCTTTCGAGCAGCGCGGAACAGCCACGCTAAACTTTGGAAAGCTGTAAGTCTTTTGGAATAACAAAATTCGGTGCAACTTGTAAGGTCGCTGACCTTTTGTGGGTCAAAGTTCCGTTATGGTTGCCAGTGAACCTAAAGAATTGTTCAATGTGATGCGGCAACGGAGCGCAGACGTAGTCATGCGACTTTAACATAGTTTCTCAGACAATTGGGCTATTGGACTTTGGATTACGACCAGTTCCATTACTTTGGGTCAAGTGTGAAGGTGAGACCAAGATCAAAACCAATGTGCTTTTTGCTGGTTAGCATCCTTCACGGGGCGGTGCTTACACCCATTTTGAATTTATTCATCACAACAACGCCAACACATGTGTTATTTTGACTTCATGAAGGTCACGGGAGGTTAATGACCTAAAATGCCCACCAATCTCTTGCTTTTGAGGAGCACGCTTCCCATGATAGTAATAAGTGCCGTTTGTAAATTCAAATTTGAAAAAATCTCTAAACTTTTTAGCCAATTTCACTTTCCACCAATCAAATTAGGTCACGGACCTGATATGCATACCAGTGGTACTTTGTTTACAAGACGCACCGAACCTGGCTGTGTGAGCAGATCTGAGAGCACTGCGGACACTGATTTGGAGCTTAATCTTGCCGGACCTTTTTCGACCCGAAGGTCATTGCCTAGGGCCCTCAAAGTTTGACTTGAATGAGTTAGCATAGAGCTCTATCTACCCTCGGAATCTGGTGTTTCTAGCTTTCTCGATTTTTGAAATCTCTTGAGAGATCTTCGGGTGGATGTGGATCAGACTGAACCCCACCCCACTCAAGGGTGTCACAAGAACTGGGCACCCGGGCGCGTGATAAAACTGACGCCGTCACCTGATTTTGGCGCACAAGGCGTGCTAACTGCGAGCCAAACCACAGGCACGTGCATCCCAAATGACGCAAACTAACAGACCAGGCCTCGGACTAATGTCAGGATGCCGATTTGGCCCGCCAGTCGCTAGATTGAATCGCAGCTGTGTGGCACAAACTCGTGCATGGTCCTGGTCCTGATCCTGGTCTTGCATAGTCCTGGCCCTGGTCCTGGTCCGGAATGGTCCAGAATCCTCCTGATGTTGATCACCTTTGTGCAACATAACCTTCTTGACGTTCTTCCTGCAGCAAAGTGCGAGTTCTTGTCTTTGACCTCATCATGCAGCTGTCGGTAAGCTTCAAAGCGTTCGAAGCTTCTAATGGGTGACTCCAGGCGCGACGAAAAAAGCCGCGTTAGCCTCTGTCATGCAAGGATGTTTCTCTGTCAGATGCGTGCCTTAGAAACCATGTCGCTGCCTTTCCGGGGAAGCTGTCTGCTGACTTGGGCGTCTCTCCCATGCAGTCTGCAGACCATACGCAGCGGTTGCTGGTTCCCGCAACAGCACCATCACCGCAGCGGCTGTGGTGATGGTACGGTACGAATGGTATGGATGGTACGGTCTTCAGGATGGTACGGCTGCCGTGTCATCCTGCAAACGGACGGGGATTCCTTCGACTTTTTCACGCCGCCCACTCCCTGCGCGATGGGGTTCTCCTCTCCTGCTGAGTGGCAGCCGCACCGTCACTCGGTCGACACACGACGAGCGATGCTCGTCACAGAGTCACAGTTCCAAATATCACCGCGAGCGTCACGAGAAATGGTGACCGATCGTAGGAATCGGGCATCATCTGGCAACTGGCATCATCTGGTATCTGGTATCATCCGGTACCTGGTAGCATCTGACATCTGCTATCATTAGACATATGAAGGCATCTGGTATTTGGTATCATCTGACATCTGATATCACCTGGCATGTGGAATCATCCGGTATGTGATATCGTCTGTCATCTGGCACCATCTGGTGTATGGCATCATCTGGCATCTGACGTCATGTCACATGGCATCACTGAACGCTGGAGTGCAAAGTCAGTCATGCTGACTGGCAATGCCGATGAGCCGTCGCCCCGCCCGCTGGGTCCGATGTCATCCTCGCATCAGTGGCGGCACCTGAGCCTGCAGCCGCAGCTGACTCTGCTGGTGAGACACTGACGACGACGGGGACGCCTCAGTGCCGGGCACCCGAGGCCTGGAGCGCGCGCAGGAGGCGTGACACCCGGCTCCGGCGCCGGCCTCAGGCGGGAAGCGGTCCCCCTGCGGCGCGCCAGTTGTGTGTTCGGCTCCAATGTCCGAGCTGGTGGAAGGGGTGGGGGGAGGGCAGCTCGACGGAGGCAGCTCCGGCTGCTGCGTGGGAGCGCGCTCAGCGGCAGGAGACAGCAGAGCTGGTGTGGGGCAGTCGGCCGCAGTGATCTTAGCCGACGATCTCAGCCGCGGCGTTCTCAGCGTTATCTGCCAGACGCCGTGCGTCAGACTGCCGTCGATGTACACGCGGTCGTCTTTCACATCAAGACCCAACGCGGAATGCCTGGCTTGTGGTGCTTTGACCAGCACCACGCCAGGCCAAAGCAGACCGACAGCTCGTAGTGATGAAACCAGCACCAAACCAGGCCAAAGCAGACCGACAGCTCGTAGTGATGTAACCAGCACCGGACCAGACCAAAGCAGACCGACAGCTCGTAGTGATGTGACCAGCACCAAACCAGGCCAAAGCAGACCGACAGCTCGTAGTGATGTGACCAGCACCAGACCAGGCCAAAGCAGACCGACAGCTCGTAGTGATGTGACCAGCACCAAACCAGGCCAAAGCAGACCGACACCTCGTAGTGATGTGACCAGCACCAGACCAGGCCAAAGCAGAGCGACAGCTCGTAGTGACGTGACCAACACCAGGCCAGACCAAAGCAGACCGGCAGTTCGCAGTGACGTGGCCAGCATCAGACCAAAAGCAGGCCGACAGCTCAGCACCAGACCAGGCCAAAGCAGACCAACAACCCGTTGTTACGTGACCAGCACCAGACCAGGCCCAAGCAGACCGACAGCTCGTAGCGGCGTGACCAGCACCAGATGCCAACACGATCCACCTGGCCCAGACGACACCCGAGGCGATGTGGAGAGGATGGCTGCTGAGGTATCTGCGGATGTGGTTCTTGTTGACGATAATCTCTCCTCTTCACATCATACAAAGGAATCACACGCCAGGATCGGTCTGTTTAGGACGCGCCTCGGGATACGACACCCCAGTCGCTCCGAGGCGCCCGAGCCTCGCTCAGCTGCCGGTCAATTATTCTGGGAGCCAGCGGCACCGACAGCTGCCTTCGCCGGCCACGGGCGCTGTGATACTGCGGTAGACTTGGAATACATCTCTCGGCCCTGTCGGACGTCTCCCTGTTGTTCCTCGCCGACAGTGGTGGCAGTGGCGGTTGAGGGGACCTGTGCCCCTCAAGACAGACTCAAGCCTCTCCGCGGCAGTGATATAGCAGTCTGGAATGTCCGTTCTCCGTGGCATAAGCCAAGCCATCGGTACGGGCGCTGAGTTCTCAGGACTTGGCATCGTCCGGCAGGATCGTTCCTGTGCTTAGTGCCGCACATCACCTGCCCGAGAGCTAACTCATCAGCTGCACTGGACTGCAATGGAGCCTGCCGACATGACACGACCGGCCAGGCTGTGCCGAGTGTGGTTTACTCCAACCATCGAGTGATATCTGCCATCAGGGTCAAGAAAACTGCCATGAACTTTTTCAGCTTCTGCTCTGTTAAAACTGACGCGATGGCGACGAAAAATCCAGAAACAGTGAAATTGTTTTGAGCTCTTGTGATTTTGATCTCTCCGCCCAGCAAAAATAAAAACAAAACAAGGAAAGTGTCAAGAAGTGGAAAGTTCACTCTAAAATGATGTCCTTGCCCGCTCTGGTGTAGTCTCTCGAGTGATGTGTGTCGTGTAACTGCTATGTGTTGACGGTTCCCTCTAAATTTGCGAGAGTTTTGCGAATACATTTTTCTGATTGTTATTGATATCATGCACTTCGCAATATGTCACATTGACATTTTAAACTAGTGGTATTCGCATCAGGCATGAACATTAAATTGCATGTTATATCGAGGTTAATTCGCTGAAAGTTATACGTGTATGTGATTCCGGCCAGAGTAGCTGAAGCGGCCAGAGACGCCGAGGACGGTACTGCCAAAGAGCAGTGAGCCGTCCAGCCGTAAGACCCACGACCTCGACGGGCACGCGGGGAGTGCCTGGCAATGGACCACCTTTGAAAGAACTCGTTTATTTTACGCCCATCCGTGCTGGACGATTGTTTGACGTCCACCCATGTTGCTTTATGCAACGTCAGATCAAATATTTAGGTCACATCATTGATGAACATGGTGTCCGTTCTGACGGTCAGATGTACGGAAGTTTCAGAATTTTCCAGACCAACGTCGGCTCCTCAGGTGATTGGTTTCCTGGGAGCTGTTAATTATTACAGACATCACAGTCCCCGTCCGTAAGACGTACCTTTTCCATTCGTGAATTTCGCATGCAAGAAGGTAGAATTTGTCTGGAGTGATGCGTATGAACAAGCTTTTAAGTCCATCAAGCGTTCAGTACTGAACTACCCGGTTCTCTGTCTTCCTGCTTTCACCAAAGATTTTTATCCCTCGTCTGATCCGTCAGACTTTGGAATCTCCGCAATCTTAGAGCAAGAATTTTATTCTGGGTTACAACCTTTCGCTTACATTAGCCGCCAGCTTCACAAAGCTGAGCGTGATTATTACAGAACAGAAAAAGAATGTTTTGTCATACTTTATGCCTTTGACAACTTGAAGTGTTATTCGACTGGCCATCAAAGACACGTGACCACCGATCATTTACCATTGCAAGGACTCTTTAAGGCCACTCATCCAGGTGGTCGCCTCACCCGATGGTCTTTGAAACTGGCAGCATATGACGCTGATGTCACCTACTTACCAGGCCTTCTTAATGTCAAAGCTGATGATGATGCTGATGTTTTGACTCGAGTCAAGACTGACTCCCAAGCAAAAACTGATTTTCTTGGTTTCGTTTCCGCTACTGTGTTGGAGCATGAAGGTTGGACACGTGACCGGACCAAACCTGAACAGAAAAAGACCCGACCTCATCCCTAGCATAGATCATCTTTCCGGTCAGCCTGAAGATCGCTCCAATCCCCAGCTCCAATCCCCAGCTCCACTCCAGCCTTGTCAAGCTATTTTCTAAGCTCCGATGGTCCTCTGTACCGCGTTGCTTCTCAGGCCGACAAAACTCGGCCATTTATAGACCAGCTCCCCTGACATGGAATGTGGCACAAAAATACCACGACGTTTTATGGAGCAGCCATGTTAAGTTCGAGAAAACAGTGTCGAAAATTCCTCTGTCCATTTGTAGACATACGCACACCGATTTTCAACGTTGCGTTAAATACTCTCGTTTATGCCTGGAGAGCCCGCCCACAAATATATTAAAACTCCCTATTACGACTACTGACTCCGCGTCACCTGATGCACATTTCTAGATATCACTGTTGCCCCAAAGATAAGTTGCCGTGACAATTAATATTACCTTTCATCGATAGTACATTTTTCAAGATGGCCAGAAGCGTTCTTCTTTCCGAAAGAAATGTCGTTGCAGTTGCTAAGGCATTTGTCCGGACACGGTATGAGCCAATATTTACTCAGTGGTTGCAGTTCCAATTTCCCGTCCAAACTCACGCAGCCTTTTTGCAAACTCCTTTAGGGCCAGTCGCCTTTAAACTTCCGCGAGACACCCGCCTTCAAATGGCCGTGTAAGACGATGGCACGTCAGTATCGGCAACATTTTATCTCAGTTTGTCGACTCGTCCCAGAGAGATTCGGACGAGGTTCTGCCTCTGGCATTGTTCGCCACACGTAGCGCAGTGAATTGTTCAACAGGTGATAATTAGGCTCCGATACGGCAGGCGATGGCGATAATCCGATACCGTATTATCCTTTAGCGTTATAGGTGTCCTTCTTTCATGCAAGCGCTGGCGCAACATGCATCAAAAAAGGAAAATGCAAAGCATGAAATGCATAGAAAAACACTGATAAGTTAATGTTACGCCACCCTATGTGTCTATGTGCACTCAAGTTTTGCGCAAGTGTTTGTATAACCCATGGCACCAATGGGCACATCGTAATGAGGATGAGCAGTGATCTATGTGTTATATCCGTTGCACGTTTGTGCCTGTATCTCTTTTGGATACGCTCCATTTGGTTCATCATGATTTGTGTACCATCATATATTTTCCACATGCTGGCCCTGGAGTAAACATCCAATGCCAAAAACTTCTCACATCTAAATCGGCGAGAAATCTACATCAGTGATCACGGGACAACCAGACTACAAGTTCCGTCTGATTGGCACTGGCCAGGCCACGCGGCGGAGGTGTCTGGTGGTCCGGGCCGACACGGTCCGTGCGGCACGAGAGGCGGCGTCGGTACTGGCAACAGCTGTGGTGCCCGGCTACCCCCGGCGCTGCCCGGTACGCTGACTCTCCTCTTCAGCATCCGGCATCTCAGCTTTGCCGCCCGCCTGTCCGACGTCTTAGGGCTCTTGACCACGCACAGCTGCCACCGCGACCACCGGCAACCAGCCACTGTCCGTCACCTCCGACACATGACAACCGGTCTCCAACGAACACCAACAGCCGATGGAGGCAGTCGAACACATCGAACCGCTCCTGCTGCCGTCCGATGCGGCTGGACAGCACCGTCTATCTTGCCACCTCACCGGGCGGAACCGCAGCAAATCCGCTGCAAGTGCATATCCATGAGCAGCTATTTTTCACCGTGCCGCCCCCAGCTGACCTCAACGGTCCAAGGATCACAAGATTATCCCTCCGGCGCAGCCTGACGTCGTCACAACTGCCACGCGCGGATGTTCCGCCCTGTGGCGGGACGGGACGTGGGCGCCATCAGTCGTGGGACGTAGGCGCCATCAGTCGTGGGACGTAGGCGCCATCAGTCGTGGGACGTGGGCGCTATCAGTCGTGTGGCGTGGGCGCCATCAGTCGTGTGACGTGGGCGCCATCAGTCGTGTGACGTGGGCGCCATCAGTCGTGTCTGCTGCACCGCCTCGGGAGACTGGTGGACTGTTGCGTCTGGTGGACCTCTGCAACTCAACCGCTGTTGCGTCTGGTGGACCTGCACAACTCCACCGTTGTTGTGTCTGGTTGACCTCGGCAACTCCACCGCTGTTAAGTCTGGTGGACCTCGGCAACTCCACCGCTGTTGCGTCTGGTTGACCTCGGCAACTCCACCGCTGTTAAGTCTGGTGGACCTCGGCAACTACACCGCTGCTATGTCTGGTGGACCTTTGCAACTCGACCGCTGTTGCGTCTGGTGGACCTCGGCAACTCCACCGCTTTTGCGTCTGGTGGACCTCGGCAACTCCACCGCTGTTGCGTCTGGTGGACCTCTGCAACTCCACCCCTGTTAAGTCTGGTGGACCTGTGCAACTCCACCGCTGTTGCGTCTGGTGGACCTCGACAACTTCACCGCTGTTGCGTCTGGTGGACCTCGGCAACTCCACCGCTGTTGCGTCTGGTGGACCTCGACAACTTCACCGCTGTGTGTGCGTCATGTCAAACAGGCCGCTTCGTGCAGTGCGTCCGCTGAGGCCGTATACCGACATTAATATCCATCAAGTTCACCGATTGCCTCATTCTTTGAACGTCTATTTTCAATCGACATACCCCGCCCCCTCCGTGTGGTGTGGAACTCCAGGTCGCTCGACCACCTCTTATTAGGCACCAGACACATGGGCGGGTGCGGGACAGCCTGAACGGCACCTCGACCGTGCGCCGCGCATGCGCCGGTCGGTGGCTCTGCCCCTTTCTCTTGGCTCACCCCGCACCGAGAGTTGGGGACTGCTTTGACAAAATAAACATTATTGAGACTTCCTCTACCGGTCTTTCGACTCACACATCCGGCTTCAATTATCCACTACGGCAGCAAGGGTCACCTGTCGAAGACAATGTGGTAGGGGTGGATGCGGCCGAAGAGCTTGCCGCCGACAGCGAGCCCGTCACCGCGGGTATGGGTGCGCTTCTTGACCAGCTGCACCGACTCCGGCCACTCCTTCATCCAGTTCAGCGAGATCCTCGGCATACCGATCGGATGTTGCGTGATCCTGCGACAAGACACGCTGTCATGGCAACAATCACAGGTGTCAATTTGTATTCTTTGGGTGGGCCATTGCCCCCACTTCACCCCGATGTCCAATGTACCCCTTCCCCCCAACAGTGAGTTTACCCCCTCAACTTTTTGGTATCTAAAGATAGGCAGGACATTAAGAATTGGAACTCCAAATTCTATCGAATTTGAACAAGATGTCTTCTAGTTGTTTCTCAGCTCAAAGGAACAAAGACAATGAAAACTGCGACGTCATATTCACTGGTTTACAGCTGAGAGACCAGGTTACAATTTGAACGTTACGCACTCGTGCCGTCTTTAGTTGAGTTTTTCCTGCATATTGTATGTTTTTATTACACATTTAATAAGCCTTCTGTCTATGGTCTAGTTTTAGGCTATTGTTTGAGTACTTGGGCCTCATTCAGCAATGTTTGCGTTATTTGGCCACGCCGCGTTAACGGCCCACCAACTCAAACCAGCCGAATATTAGCGCCTAAAAGCCTGTTATTAGTTATTTATCATTATAGTTATTATATATATATATATATATAGTTATTACTACATATATATATATATATATGCATATATACACACACATATATATATATATATATATATATATATATATATATATATATATATATATACATATATGTAGTTATTATATAGTTATTATATTACTGTAGTTATTTATATTAGTATTAAAAGCCTGTTATTGGCCAAGTTATTAGTCGCATTCGACAAGGTGAAATTCTAGCACCGGTTCGCGGTGTCGTTAATGCTAATCTGTTACTATCATAAACCTAAAAATTGCTCAGGTGAAGCATGCTTCCGGACCTCCATCTACACGCAAGAATTAACATTGTGAATCGTTCGAAGGTATCACTTCCAGGAACGCTATCGTTGCCGTCCGGCAACGACCCCACCGTAGCGCGTGAAGACCTATGGAAACTGCAACGCCAGGCGTTGGGGCTTTTAAGCTAAGACTTGCGAGCGCCCATGGTCAGTACTATAAGTGAATTTCCTTTTTTATTCTGTTCAGGGGGGAAAATTCCCACGTGAACATAGGTTGGCCCTATCAGTACAAATTTGTAAACAAATTCCTATCTACAATCTACGTTTATTACCATCCACGTTTACAATGTCTATGTACAGCCCAGAAAAATTCCGGCACAGCCCTGTATGCTACTGGCTTGGAAAGGCTTCATAAGACCATTGTAAAATGAAAAGCGATGGTGGTTTTACTCTATGCAGTCACTTAATTTCTCGCTCCTTCGGTTTGCCGAGTTCAAAATGAACACAGAATTAGATATTTTGGTGCCCTCTGGATTAGGTTGCTATCAAAGTATGTAAATATTGAAATAAAGTGGACAACTGGCTGCGCCCCTGCTTGGGTGAGTTCGTTGAGTACTGAGTATGCGTAGCTACGCAAGCATGATCTCATGTTCATTGAAGAACCAGCTTGACTAGCAGCGTTCTTACAATTAACCTACGTTGCGCGCGGCATTAATGTGACGGGCGGTTGTTTCGCGACCCGTTTGAACTGAAGCGGGTGGGGTCGCTTTCTGTACACAGGTACGAGCGCTTGGTGCAGCGTTCTGTAAATGCACAGCAGGCTCGCAATGCATGCTTATTGAAATCAGCGGGGAAAAGGGCACTTCCAACAGGAGGGCACCTGCCTAACCGTGTTTGCGAAACGGCTGAAGACCATGCTCTAGAGTGATACGTGGAAGGGTGCTAGTGATTTGTTTTACATTAACTGAAATGTGTCTGTTGTATCCATGGAATTTTGGTGTGTCGAGATCCCGCGTTTAAATGGGTTATGATAGCCACATATACCTATCGCAGGCACTTGTCTTGTGTGCGCATGAATAAATAAACGACAACATGCCTACCTTAATGATAAATGTACGCATATTTACTCTGCATAATAAACAACCAGAACATAACTGAACAAAATCGGAGCGGTATCTCGTACCCTTTCCCGTTTGGCAACTTCCACAACTTTGGCCTCATTTTGAGAAATCATTTTGAGAAATCGACATCCATGGCAGCAACGGTCAGAACGTTGGCATGGCAACAACGCATGGGTCGGAGGACGGCAACAATGGCGCGCGTCACCAGGATTGCAACAGCCGATGCGGAAATGACGGTCTTTTTTTGCACGAAGTCATATATACTCTGAGCTGGCTGCCAGGCGAGGTAGAGTAAAAGTCAAGAAGTATGGCATCGCATCATCAAAAGCTGCGGCACACGCTTACAGCCGGCTGTTTAGTGACACAGCTCCGTCGAAACCCCCTACAAGCGACTGCTCCGTCATCTGCGATTGACATCGATCGTCACACCAGGGGTTCAGGGGTTCGGCTCAGCCATTTGTCGGCGTGGCGTCAGCGACTGGCGGCAGCGTCAGCGTCAGCATGACGGTGGCGGCAGGCCGTAGTCCGTCCAAACGTGTTGAGGTGATAGTGCGCGGAATCAGAGGCCTAGACTCTGCCGCCCTCAATCATAGGCCTGGACTCTGCCGCCCTCAATCAGAGGCCTGGACTCTGTCACCCGCACCTGAATATAACGTGCACCATCGGACGATTCGAAACCATCTCCTTGTGGACACTGACGGTGCTGATCTTGATGTTGATGCTGAAGATGTTCCGAGCGACGGCCTGCAGCAGTCCTGGAGGACAGACCAATGTCATCCAGAGTAGGCGGCGAGAGCTCATGAGACAGGCATAGGCACTGGCCGGCAGAGGCGGGGCTTCGCAAAGTGATTTGGTGGGGGGGGGGGGGGGCTCAACAGCGCAAAAGGACTCAACTTGCCCCACCCTGCACGCGAGAAACAATTGAACGGAACACGAGTTTGTAAAGGAGCGGGCGGGTGTTTGTCGGCAGTAGCGTAGCCCGGAGGACTGATGGCGGAGGAGGTGGTGTGGCTATGGACGGCGGCCGGACGCCGTGTGGTCAAACCCGGGCGGCGTAGGACGCCAGTTGAGCTATGGTGCAACGATGGAGCTCGCTTAAGATACAGTCTTCAGTGAGTGACGTGGCGCTTCTCTGATGGTCCGCAAAGCTCCCAAGGCGGCAAGATAGCAAGAGAGCAGGATAGCAATTCCTCATAAAACACGAGCAAGTAAATAAAGCACGAGTAGGGAAGCAAACCATTCGAATGCATAGCCTCGTTACCCAATGAGTCAGATCTTGTCTCGGCCAGAGTCCCACATACTTTTCCAGCTGACAGACACGATGACACTACGAGGGCTTGTTCCAGTACTTAAGTACGTATCCGGAAAAAATATGTATCTTTATACAACACAGTGACGGGTTCTGCGCCCGAATTTTCGTCTCAAAGCAATTTGGTCAGTCTTGTTTGAGCAGTTGCAGCACATTACGTCTGGAGCGCCTGTTTTGTTTGCGTTTCGCTTTAAGTTCCGAAGGGTTGTTTTTGCCTGCTTTGTTCTTGCTCGGGTCTAATGTGCAATCTCAATAGCCTGTTTGTTTGCGTTTTTTCTTGTTAAAACCCCAAAAGATAACGCTTCCCTCAAACAGCCATAACGCAGAAATCTCTCGACGTATTGGATGACTGCAGAGATCGATCCCGGGCCCCCGTTCAGTCGGCGGGCCCGGAGATCAAGCACTGTGAATGTCCGGATGCAGGCCGGCGCCCGCCGACCGACTCAGACCCGTTACGATGCCGGTACAGCAGTCCCTGCGCGAGTAGTAGTTGAGGGCGAGAGCCTCGCCCTCTCGCCCCACGAGCTCCGGGCGGAACGACGGCGACTGAGTGCCGGCGAACGCCGTCGACATCAGGTACCTGCCGGGCGGGACAGACAGCTGACGTTACGCCATTTACCGGCAGGTGGCAGGCGCGCCGATTGGCGCAGGCGGGTGGAGGCGGGAGAGGGGAAGGTGGGTTGCAGACAAAAGTACGCGTGGAAAAGATGCAAATGATATTTGATTATTGGCAGGGGTTTAGCTTTGCATACGTTCTGTGGGCCTAAACCCAGCTCCTGACTTGGTCCTTCTCAATGCTCTTCTTAGCGCCCAATGCATATGAGGAAAAAACGAATGCTGGCACAATGAAATACAACAAGCGCATGTACTGTTGGTACACTGAGTCATCAAACACATCACTATCAACATCGATATTATTACATATCGTCCTCATCACTACCACGTGGGTCTCAAATGCAAAATCGCTCCTTCACATCAAAGAAATTTTTGAAATGATATATATATATATATATATATATAATGTATGTATATATAGATATATAGATAGATAGATAGATAGATAGATAGATAGATAGATCATTGCGTAAATTTATTATTTCGGGCCTCAAATCAATGAGGCCGAAATCAGAGGAGAAATCAGGTTTGGGAATGAGGTTAAGTAAACGTTATTGGCACACAGAACCCCCCCCCCCCCCACTATCGATTCGAGAAACCAGCCATGTGTATCGGAATAATGGCAATTGTCCAAACGATAGAGTTCGAACGCATAATGTTCGTCACGAAAAGTACGAAAAGTAAAATATTCGTACCTCGTTGCAGTGAAACTTAGTAATGAAAAAGTGCGTACCTATGGATATAGATCCTTCGACAAAATGCTCGCAGGGAAACAGCTCGTAACGATCATGTCCGTAGTCTGTCCTCAGAGCAAAGTTCGTGTGGGAAAGGTTTTAAGCAAACGTGTATGTGCAAATGTTCGGGCGTCAATGTTTGTCAGGAAAAATGTTCGTTTGGCCAAATTGCGCAAGCATGGGTTCGTTTTTCGATACATCGTGTAAGCACAAAAGGCTTTACGCAAATGTTGGTTACGGACGTATTACAAGAGCATGCACTCAAAACTTCGTACGCAGCTGTGTACGGTATGTTGGAAGGCGGATATTGATCTCTGGTGCCGGGCCTCGAGACTGAGTACCACTTCGGGGGCCGCCAAATCCAGTGCTGGGGCAGGGATATTGATCTCTGGTGCCGGGCCTCGGGACTGAGTATCACTTCGGGGGCCGCCAAATCCAGTGCTAAGGTAGGGATATTGATCTCTGGTGCCGGGCCTCGGGACTGAGTATCACTTCGGGGGCCGCCAAATCCAGTGCTGGGGCAGGCAGTGGACAGCGGCAATCGCATGTGCCACATAAATTGTGTCTGGTTTATCAGATGGCCAGTTTAACTCGTCGCGGCATACAGCTGGCCGTCCCTCAGCGGCCACCAGATCCATCAGCGGTCACCAGATCCATCAGCGGTCACCAGATCCACCAGCGGCCACCAGATCCATCAGCGGCCACTGGATCCACCAGCGGCCACCAGATCCATCAGCGGTCACCAGATCAACCAGCGACCACCAGATCCACCGCAGATCACCCGCCGAGTGGTCTGCGCTCCTCCTCTGTCCCTCTCCCTGACGACGGGTCTGCCGGCGACCCCGCCCGACGCCCCCTGAGCGCGCCACTGACGCCAGCTGACGGACGCGGTGAGTCTTCGCGATTGAAGAACACAGCGGAAAGATCTGCCGGGCGCAGGCGGCATGTGATGGCTTTTCTGAAGCATAGAAGAGTCCAGAGAGAATGATGCACCGCTGCACTTGTTTTGATGCAGCCTCTTTGATAAGGACCTTGTACTGAGCCGATCCAGCATGGCCTGAGATTATCACTTTTAATCTGCCCGCCGGACGGAGTTAGATATTGTTCACTCGAATTCACACCTCATGCCACAATATTTAATCAATCTTCAGCAACGTTTGCGGTCAGACTATGCAAAACTTGATACCCTGGAGTTCAATCTGTCCTGAGACACTTACAATATAAGTATCGTTCAACATCCCGAAATCAGTTATCGTAATGCATCGCCATAAGCTTAATGTACAGCATTCGTGGAAAGTGGGTGTGCGTCTACAGACTCTCGCTCCTACGCTTATGCAGCTCACCAGCTTTTGGGGACGTAATTTTGTCAAACCAACTCAATGTGTTTGAACCTTTGCGCACGTGCAGTTGCTTACAAATAGCCGTGTATGTACTTAAGGCGTACAGCCTCTTCGCACCCGAACTTTTGTCCTGACGTATTTTTGTAAATACAAACATTCTTCATACTTACTTCAAATCACACGAACATTTTCTCACAAACACCCGCGTACAAACTTTTGTGTGCGTACTTTGGCCGAACGAACTTAACGCCTAGCGTCCATTTGTTTAACGCCAATTGCGTACCTACTTTGTGCATACATGCTTTTCCCATACGTCATTAAATCCTGAAACCGGACTGCGCAGGGTTCGGAAATCGTGCGGTTGACCGCTCGCGAGCCTCGCGCTCGCCGGACGTTCCACTGTTGGACCTGATCGATAGCTGAGGTGTAGGGCACGGCGCACGACATTGAGCGTGTAACATTGGCCAAGGTCAGGGCCAAAGCGAGAGGGCGGTGCTTGAGCAACACGGCGCCTGCCTCTGCATTAACCGTGCCACTCGCACGTCTTGGCACGAGGCCGCGATAATAAACACCCGGAGCCTTGTCACGGACTGCTGGAATAACGACATGTGCTGGCACGCAGATGCAAGGCCGAAGAAGACGCATTTGTCTACTGGCCAGGCTTCGAGCCATGCCCCACAGCGAGCTCTGATGCGCATCTCCACACGCGCTGACGTCCGTGCTCTCTCCTGTGCCCGGTTGACTGGGTGCCAGCTCCCAGGACGGCCGTCTGTCTGCGGTGACTCGGCCCTCGGGCAGCTGGCGGCGGCGGCAGCGGCCGAGGCCGGAGCCGCGTGTCAGCACACCGCCACACCGCCAGCGCCGGTGGCAGGCGTGGCGGGGCGCTGGCGGTCCGGGCCTCGGCCGGGCCACCCACGCTGCCGGGCGGGCCGGCGCTGGCAGAGACTGCCGTCACCGCGCATGCGCCGCGACACGGCGCCCCGGGCCGCCACGGCAGCCGTGTCACGTGTCAGAGTCCGGGGCCAGCCAGGTAACCTGGGAGTGACCTGGCCAGAGTCCCGTGTCGGCCAACGGCACCGACGAGGATGGCCTTCAGCACGCAAACCGCGCCACGTTTGCGTACCCGTGGTCACGAAAGGAGCAGCCGGGGTCGGGGGGGGGGGGGTCCACCCTTTGTTACGCGCAGATTATGGGATGGACCAGTCCCTCCCCCGCCCCCCTACATCATTTATCAAGACACGCGGCTGCTAATGCTATTAGTGCCTCAGCAACTCACGACATAGCCGCGTTAGCACTGGCGAAGCGAGAAACTGCACCGAGTAACTCTGTTCAACAGCGTCATTCGGGGTAGCCCGCGTACACCCTCGTGCTCGTCAAGACCCTCTAATGGTGTATGCCAACCAGCAAGCCGGACTTGCATGCTGAGCTTATCTTGGTAGCCTGGTAAAGGCTATACTCGGTGCCAATCCAAGCCCTTACATTCTAGTGCTTACCTGCGATCGAGATGAAGGTGCTACAATTGTTAACATGACCCCTTTTGTGCGCATTTTAACCTGTTTCATGTGTATGGCACGGGTACGATCTGGGCAAGATGGGTAGCCGGCAGTCACTGCTCTATTTTTGTCAAAGTGGTGACGGCTTCACTCCATGGAGTCAGGCAGAATAAGATGTTTTGTCGGCTTGGTCGTAAGACGGTTTCGCACTCGACTTCAGTGCACTTACTCCGCATTTGATTCAAGTTTTACCAGATACTTTTTTGCAAATCGGTTGCATCACTAATCGCCGAACAAGCCGAATGCAGTACGGTGTCATCATCGGCGGTTCGGAGAACAGTGCCGAATGTAGAACGGTGTCGCCAAAGCAGTCGCGAGGCGCGACGGCCGTGGGGAAGTTCACATCACCGCATGTGCTGCATTTACCTCCAATTTATTCGAAATTCTGTGCACAATCGTTGAAAACGTCATCTAAACGGATACTGTTTTCTTTTCGTGACGTTTAAATGCCACCGATCGATCGCCCAGTCGCTGTCTCCGAGTATTTTAAGCAAAAGCGAAGCGATGGAGCAAAACGATTTAAGCGAAACGGCGGAAGGCGAACGCGCTGAGTGTGAGTCGACAGCCAGTGGTAGTCAGTTCAGCTGGCGTTCATTCATTCGTGGCGGACAAAAGCCCGTAACGACAGAATGCATCTGTGCAGCCTTCTACGAATGTGGAAAAATGTAAAAATATGCACCCATCAAGGTAATAAGTAGCTGCGAAGGTCATTTAGCAAGGAATTATCATGGAAGTGGAGGTCATTTTGAGGCGTATAGCAATCATCTGAGGACAAAGCATACCGTTTTCACCGAATGTGCCTCCGAATGACTGCAGGGTACAACAGATACATCGCAGAGCGTTGCTGATTGAGTACAGCATGCAGCGAAATCGGCGTGGGCGGTGATGGCCGGAACGGATTCCTCAAGCGTCAGAAATATGTAACGAAACCTCAACGACAATGGGCAATTGAAGAGCGGTATTTGAAAGCTTAACATTCAGTTTGGCAAGCAGGCGTATAATTATTACCGTTGTAAGTCTCTGTATCGCTGCGGCCCGGCGTCTCCTTGACTTGGCCGCATGATAATGTGGCAACGCACTTGTATGCTATGGAAAGGTTGACTCAGAATTTAATCGGTGCTATCCCCATCCGTTTATGATGGAGCTTTTTTCAATGAGTGACGTAACCTCCTTAGAATGGGTGCTAGCATGTCTCCAACACACGGAATGGACGGGGCGGAAGGGTGGCCAGCGTCATTACCCTGTGTTAATCAAAGCGGTAAGTGATTGAGTGGTAAATCACTTTTGTAAGCTATGTGGGCGTCTTATACAGGTTTTTATTAAAATCATCCCAATCCATTCAATTCTTAAAAGACATGGGAATTCAGCCAGACGAGTCACCTGTTAAAACGTAAAGGAGTCAGATTCGAACGGGATAATAATTGTTTTCGTTTGCGTGGTCAGCTTCAGATTTTTCGTTCATTCCCGGAATAAGCCGGCTGTTTAAGAGGCGTCAAAGAAACGGTAAACACGTCTCCAAAATGAATCAACAGTCGCCCAGAGAAGCGAGGTGGCCGGGCCTCACTGGGCTAACCAACTATCGTCTGTCGGTCTGTCTGTCTGTCCGCCTGTTTGTTTGTCTTTTTGTCTGGTTTCACGTCAGCCAGAGGTTGGGTCGACCAGGAATTCATATGAACGATGAAAAGCCGAACCCAAATAACATAAACACAAGTCGTTTACAGAACGCCACAGGTCTTTCAACGCGTTTTCAGCAGTCAGCTGCGTCGCATCGCTTAGCGAAACAGGCCCGCAAGCACTTGCACAGTCTATATATGCGCATATATGTATTCATATATATATATATATATATATATATATATATATATATATATATATATACATATATATATATATATATATATATATATATATATATATATGTATACATATCTTTGTGTCTGTTTGCCGGGCGTCTTTGCCTTGCTCAGAGCCCGCCGTTCAGTTGTATGTGCCCTAAGGGCACTCGGAAAGTGTGAAAGAACGTCGAAGATAAAGCAAAAAAGATTGACTGCATCCGGCAGGTAGCAATGTGGCGAGAGCACCCAACAGACAGAAAAAAAACTCGTAAGCCGTGATAAACAAGGACATCGGACAGCACTGATGCGCCCCAGCGGTCGCCTTGGTAACCGGGAAAAGCACAAGACAGTGAGCGAGTGCATTAATTTGAGCCTTTCCAACTCGTTAAAGCCGACCGGCGCATCCGACAAACATAAAGCACACCACTTGAAGGATTTTTGCGAGTTTAAATGTGCATTTCATTTTAAAGCTGGTTGCAGGTTCGCCTGACTTGTTATTTTTCCTTATTTGTAGTGCATTTCACCGCGTACCCTTTATTGCATTGGAGTTGCTAAGTTCCTTGCCTGATGATTAAATGTCATAAATTATGAACCACAAGATAAGCTTTGTGACGGAGATTTCTTCATCGCTACGTCCAGGCTGACAAAACTTTGTCGTGGCTGCTTTTATTTTTTAAGCTGTCTCGACCCAACAGCTCATAAGACGTCGCCGCTTGAATCACAAGAAGAAATTTTCAAACATGCTATTTTGAGCGGATTCCATCAGCACTGAGCGCTTATTACGTGCAACAACCTTACCCAGCGGCAGAGGCGCAGCCATGGTGCTCATGAATTTTCCTCCACCACCAGCAGAATCGAGTGCAGTTTATGAACCACGACACCACTGAGTACAACTCTTCGATCTCGTTATTAAGAGTCTTTTGGGCTTCACCTCTATGACTTGTATGGGCGACGTCGATGACGAGCAGCACAACCTTTTGGTAAACAATGAATCGGGGTAAGAAACAAACGAATCCATCGTTTGTCTTATGTGAATACTTGAGGGCAAAACAAACGACGTTCATGACATGGACGGGTAAAACGTCTGAGGTTGCAGGTCAGCCCCGAAGCGTGAGAAGCTTGCGCAAAAACACGAAGGGAGTAAGGGAGTAGAACGCTTTTTTAGCAAGGGAGGGAACGTAGCACGTTTGCGCGCTTAGGAACGCTTGGTATACACACTCGGGATCACGTCCCCAAAGCCTTAAAACTCTTTAAGGGAAAACACACCAGCGTTCAGAACGGGCAAACAGCGAGGTTAGTCTTCTAAACGTATATTCTGCAGAATTTGATTTTTCAGGTCATTTTTGTCAAACAGAATATTGTAAGCGCAATTTGGAGCAATCATGGTGCGAGAACCAAGGATCGTTTGTCCGCAAGCTCGTTTGTCCGTTCAGACCCAGTCTGGTTCCCTACACAAAATAAAGCGACGCATGCGACAGCCGAATGCTTGTGGTAACTTTGCTACACGCCTTATGACTCCTATAGTTTCCTTCGATGTGTCGATGTTTCGCAACTCGGACCAGGCATTCGACAGTCATCTGTTTCTTGTCCGAGCGATTTGAAGCCATCGATGGTTTGACTGTTTGCACACCAGCGCGAGCGTCTGCGAGACTGCCATCTAAACACCACACGATGATCGGCTGCGAAAGACGCCTGGCGGACCGTTTGCCCTTCACGTATAGCAATTCGTATTCCGCACAAGGCAGTGTGCCGAATTGGGGGTTCGAGCCTAGCAACCGGCATAATGTTTTATCGCCACGTTACTGCCTGCGCCATGGGTTGCGACGCTGAATGACCACGACTGTGAGTGAGTCGTGCCAGCCGGGTCATGCGGAAGCAAACACACGAAATTTGTGGCTCCCAAATCGTGGAGGATGCGCGGATGTCGTCCCGCACGTCACGCACGAGTCTTCTTTTCCATTTGCGAACCATGCGGCACTTGAAGAGCAATTTCCGCACCGGACATGACTTCAGCTCGTGTGGATACGTCCAGGCGTGGAGAATGCCAGTGTACCAGCGACTACCTCCACTACTAGAGCCGACGGCATCCGCCAGTAGTGCAGGTAGTCGTTCTGTACGCACCAGTGGAGGTAGTCGTTTGGTACACTCCAATGGAGGTAGTCGTTCCGTACTCACCAGTGGAGCTAGTCGTTTGGTACTCATCAGTGGAGGTAGTCGTTTGGTACTCATCAGTGGAGGTAGTCGTTTGGTACGCTCCAGTGGAAATATTCGTTCGGCACTCACCAGTGGAGGTATTCGTTCGGTACGCACCAGTGGAGGTAGTCGTTCTGTACGCACCAGTGGAGGTAGTCGTTCGGTACTCACCAGTGGAGGTAGTCGTTCGGTACTCACCAGTGGAGGTAGTCGATGTTCGGTACCCACCAGTGGAGGTAGTCGTTCGGTACCCACCAGTGGAGGTAGTCGTTCGGTACTCACCAGTGGAGGTAGTCGTTCGGTACTCACCAGTGGAGGTAGTCGTTCGGTACTCACCAGTGGAGGTAGTCGTTCGGTACTCACCAGTGGAGGTAGTCGTTCGGTACCCACCAGTGGAGGTAGTCGTTCGGTACCCACCAGTGGAGGTAGTCGTTCGGTACCCACCAGTGGAGGTAGTCGTTCGGTACCCACCAGTGGAGGTAGTCGTTCGGTACCCACCAGTGGAGGTAGTCGTTCGGTACTCACCAGTGGAGGTAGTCGTTCGGTACTCACCAGTGGAGGTAGTCGTTCGGTACCCACCAGTGGAGGTAGTCGTTCGGTACCCACCAGTGGAGGTAGTCGTTCGGTACCCACCAGTGGAGGTAGTCGTTCGGTACCCACCAGTGGAGGTAGTCGTTCGGTACCCACCAGTGGAGGTAGTCGTTCGGTACCCACCAGTGGAGGTAGTCGTTCGGTACTCACCAGTGGAGGTAGTCGTTCGGTACTCACCAGTGGAGGTAGTCGTTCGGTACTCACCAGTGGAGGTAGTCGTTCGGTACTCACCAGTGGAGGTAGTCGTTCGGTACCCACCAGTGGAGGTAGTCGTTCGGTACCCACCAGTGGAGGTAGTCGTTCGGTACTCACCAGTGGAGGTAGTCGATGTTCTGTACACACCAGTGGAGGTAGTCGTTCTGTACTCACCAGTGGAGGTAGTCGTTCGGTACCCACCAGTGGAGGTAGTCGTTCGGTACTCACCAGTGGAGGTAGTCGTTCGGTACTCACCAGTGGAGGTAGTCGATGTTCTGTAGGAATGTCTCGAACGTCTGGCCGATGCCGTGGATGATGTCGCCGAAGCCTATTTCAACCGCGAACGGCAGGAAGTGCTGACCCAGGCTGTGCATCACCCTCTCTCGAGGCATTCCTGACAGCGACAAGGTGGGATTGTGTTCAGCGGGAGGGGGGGGGGGGGGGGGAACATCCTCGATTTTCCCCTCCAACTTGATAAAAAGCCCTTCCGGGATAAGGCCACATTCTGATAGCAAATCCAGGCTATACCAGGTGTCTCCCCCAAATGTGCTATATTCAAAACGAAGACATCTTAGAAATCGAGCACGGTCGATAGGTCGTACATTTATAGTAAAAGTCAATCATGTGTTTTTGGTACCACATTATTCAGTATCTTGACATGTGTCGGCACCAAGTGATGTGATGTATGTTCGATGTGAGCACACGGGTGAGTGAGGGTTCCAAAAGTGTATATTAATCGCTTCGCAGGCAGTACGCCCAAGGCTGGTATTTAGGCATGCCTTAAAACTTTTCCTGGAATTGCAGGATTGGTAGGCAAAGCAAGTGTGGTTCATTTCGGGCTGGCCCGTCACTAACGCAAACAAACACGTGCTGTAACGATATTTCAGTTTTCAGTGACTAAAACAATATGTTAGGAGTGTCTCAAATACGAGATAAAGACTCAATTCAGCAGCCAGGTTGAACCTCAACCAGGCTCACTGACCCAGGTCTGAGCCTCGCGGTTGGTTTGCGAGACTATTGCCCACTCCCCTGGTAGTGGGCAGCAGCCGTGGGCACTTCAAGGTGATCGGCGCCGCCGCGTGGCGACAGCCCCACGGAACAACGCAGCCTGCCCACGTCATCAGCATTCCATCATCCGCCGCCGCGTGGCGACAGCCCCACGGAACAACGCAGCCTGCGCACGTCATCAGCATTCTATCATCATCACCATCGTAACCACCACCACCACCGTCACCCCCATCTGCATTGTCAACAGCATCATCGGAATCGGCATAATTCTTGGTATGACGATCGGCATCATCGTCGTCGTCGCCATCTTTGTAGTCGTATTCGTCGTCATCATCGTCATGGCCTTGGCACCGGACCGCCAGGCGCCAGTCCCGGCGCATGGTTCGCTGGAGGGGCTTGGCGGCATCCAGCTAGCCATAGGTAATGACGCCTCGGAGTGGTGGAGAACGGTGGGCCAGGGTTCGCACCGAAGTCTAACGACCCCAGTGCTAGCTCACCCAAGTGCAAAGAAGTTTGAAGGGTGGCATGATGCACTTTGTATCGGCCACATTTGACACGTTTAGCTAGTGCATCTCATACGCTTCACGAATGTATTGAAAACATTGGTTTCACGTATTTTACGCATTACATATACCCATTGCTCAATCGCACTTTGCACGCATTTACCAAACACGGTGGCCTCAAACACACCCTTACGCTTGCCTCCAGCCTCTCGCATCAGGTCAGCATGTACGCTGGTACGCCACCGAGCGGCGCACCAGGCCCGCGGTCCGCGAGGGGACTGACCTGTGACGTCACTGACGGTCTGCACCAGCCGGTACAGTACACAGTCCGCGTACATCTTGTAGTGCAGGAAGTCAGCGTCGTCCGAGATATCGGGGCACGCGGACCTGCGGCACATGGGCGGCTTACAGCGGCGCTGTGGGACCGACGGCACAGTCTGCAGACCTGCGGCACATGGGCGGCCTACAGCGGCGCTGTGGGACCGACGGCACAGTCTGCAGACCAGCGGCACATGGGCGGTTTACAGCGGCGCTGGGGGACCGATGGCACAGTTTGCAGAGGCGACGTCTGCAAACTGCGAACTTGATGGCGTCAGTATCGTTGTCAAGCGGGAGGAGAGGCACAGCAACACGTCGGCTTCGTGGTGACGCGATCCCATCCGACTCGTGTCTCCACGAGCTGACAACAGCTGACTGTGTGTGTGTGTGTGTATGTGTTTGTGTGTGTGTGTGTGTGTGTGTGTGTGTGTGTGTGTTGTGTGTTTGTGTGTGTGTGTGTTGTGTGTGTGTGTGTGTGTGTGTGTGTGTGTGTGTGTGAGTGTGTGTGTGTGTGTGTGTGTGTGTGTGTGTGTGTGTGTGTGTGTGTGTGTGTGTGTGTGTGTGTGTGTGTGTGTGTGTGTGTGTGTGTGTGTGTGTGTGTGGTGTGTGTGTGTGTTGTGTGTGTGTGTGTGTGTGTTGTGTGTGTGTGTGCGCGCGCACGCGCGAGCTCGCACGCTCCACAAGCCATGAGAAATAACCTGCCGTTTGCCGATTCACGGGCCGGTTTTGGCACGGCCGCATTGGCATCCAATGAAACAGCCAGCCCGACTCAGAGGACAGCGCCGTTCCACCGCCGAGACGACCGACCGACCGAGACCTGACACGACCGAGATCTCAGAACACTTGTGTCACACTGGGATGCTCTCTGGTGCCAGGTGCGGATCATGATCGCTCTTTTAGGAAATGTTGTCCGCAATAAAAAGCGACAGGTAAGCCTAGCTTTCTTTGCTTTTAACTTTTTACGGCAATAAATCAGGGGATCTCAGATAGTTAAACGCAGCTCTAAGACATTTGGAGCCTTAAGAAGATAATTGTGGAATGTGACTGCAGTATGATAAAGGCTCATCCACAGTATATCGTAAGGATGAAAAATATGGTGACAAGCATGGATAATATCAAACACATTGTGTACCCATTATGCGCAACTCAGTTTGCTGTTACAACGCGTGCATGCGTGTCGCATGCATATGTACGCACAATCCTTCGTTCACCAAACCAAGCGATGCCAGCATTGTACTCCATCCTATGCCCTATATTTTCCGCGACCGGAAGCGGCACGCCCCATCACGGTCGGCTGGCCGCAGGACCTGCCTCAATAATAGGCCCGCCCGCCGCTGGTGCTGCGCGTACGTCCGGTCCAGTGGCGCCCCTATTACTGGCCGCCGCCAGGCGCGACAGCTCGGTATCACGGTCAGACGCCGACCCATGAGGCGAGCTATTACCGGGGAGGTGACGTGCCGGCAGGAGACAAAGTGCGGGGCGGACCCCCGAAAAGGTCATGTCAAGGGTCGCGGCTGGCGCAGGAAATACACGCCGTGCTGAAGGTACGGACTGCGGGCTCGAGAAGCAGGGACAACCAGAAATATGGATACTATTGACATAGAGCTCACAGATGGATGTGCGAGACAGTACTTCATTATGACTGTCAGCAGCCAGTCTAGCGAAGAAATATCTCAAAAAAGAAGAAGAAAGACGTTTAAGAATCAAATGACCGAAATTTGTATCTTGACAAAAGTTAAAAAACCAAATGAACCGCAACTAGACCCATTGAAATCACATTATGCATGCATGGCCTATACCACTGCCCAAGGCTTTGCTTACTGCTGCCGTAATGAACGTACCACTGCCGAGTTTTCGCCTTGCATATCCGTAAGGAGCATATCCATCGTCAAACTTTGTCGGGTTGTTACAGGGTTAACAAGAAAATCGTGGTTAAACGAACGCGAACAAATGCAAATTATGTGCACTCAACACAAAACGATTAAACAAATTTGGCGTTTCTAATCCTTTCCACTGCACAATTTATATTTGCGTTCAAACTGGCTTCTCCACAGCGACTGGCAAATGGTGGCCTCGCATGACTGGGCACCGCCGCAAGTCAACAAATACCACAAACTGTCTCCTTAATACAGCAAGGTCAAGCCGATTGTGTCACATCCCATTGCGTTAACCACATCACGGACGATCCCTCTCTCATGGTTCGGAGAGCACTTCCGCCGGGCGGAGACCCGGCTGGAACGACCAAACGGCGGGGGGCGGATTCGTAGTTGATCGCGGTGAGGGCACTTAAGCGGGCTTCGGGACGGTCTATCGAGCACACACATCTCAGTTCAACATCGTTGAAAGGCAACGGTTGGGGAGAGAACATGCCCCCATGCCCCCACGGACCCCTCCTGTGTACCCTTGCTTGCTGAGAGCACGGGTGCTGGGTCCGTGGCAGTGCGTCCTCCTTGTCGGCTTTCCTGTTATTGTGACTCGCCGGACAGCCGAACTCTGCCAGACGCCCGGGGCTGTCCTGCTGTCCCCGGCTGCTCGCCGGACAGCCGAACTCTGCCAAACGCCCGGGGCTGTCCGGCTGTCTCCGGCTGCTGGTTGGAGCATGACGCCGCGACCAGCGCCATATCATATTCATATCCGCATATCCCTGATCATATCCGCGTATCTGGCGCTGGAGCCGCGCCCAGACGGTCCAATCTGCCTCCGGCGATATCGCATGTGTCTTGCTTGCAGTTGCAGCGTAGGGGTGGAGAGGGTCGCTGGGTCCGCTCGGGTCCGCGTGCGTCCTGGCTGTGACGACCTCCGGTCCAACGAATGTTTTGATCTGCGACTCCCGTGGCTTCGATAGGGTCACTCGCCAATTTAAATGGCCGGAATGCGTTTGGCTTGGTTTGGTCGGCCAGTCATCGCCATTGGCAGGGTCACCCGCCAATTTAAATGGCCGGAATGCGTTTGGCTTGGTTTGGTCGGCCAGTCATCGCCATTGGCTGGGACTACGGAGATGGTAAGTGGGGGGGGGGGGGGGCGGGGGGAAGGCATCAGGCTGTGGGATTACGGAGATGATAACTAGGGGGGGGGGGGGAGCAAAGCTGCAGCTGCCGTGGGAGTCTCCCGTGAGCGAGTCCCCTCAGCCTGCACATTGACCCCTCTTGGGGGAGGTTGTGCGGGGGGGGGGGTGGGGCTCTAGTGAGGGTGGTTTCAGCCGGCTCATGGCTGTCCGGTACCACAACACGAGGGACGCTGGCCGCTGCTGACCCCTCCGGTGACATACAAGCCGCTGCCACAACACGAGGACGCTGGCCGCTGCTGACCCCTCCGGTGACATACAAGCCGCTGCCACAACACGAGGACGCTGGCCGCTGCTGACCCCTCCGGTGACATACAAGCCGCTGCCACAACACGAGGACGCTGGCCGCTGCTGACGCCTGCGGTGACATACAAGCCGCTGCCACAACATGCGGGACGCTGGCCGCTGCTGACGCCTCCGGTGGCATACAAGCCGCTGCCACATGCTGCCTGACGCCACGAGTATGACATTTCCAGAATCTGGCGGGTTTTACCGTCTGCGCCAGCAGTCTCCGCTGTATTATCAGCAGAGCGACAAAATCTGCCGAGGATGCAATGTAGCCGCCCCAAGAGGAAAGTCGTATAAGAAAGGCCATGGCAGACCGCGCCTCCCGTTCCTCGTGCATCGCCACTGACTGCCAGCTGGGGGTGTCGTCTTTGCGCTGCACCTGCGCTACACGACTGCTAAAAGTGGAGCAAACCTCACTTCCTGCAGGAGGGCTCCCGACGCACGCACGAGGCTCTGGCGATGGGTCCGACCGACATAAACAGAGCCGCTCGATGAAAATAGCCGGCCGCAGCAGCCATTAAGCCGGGCCGGCGCGGCAGGGTCCGACACCCAACGCCCGCCACAGCGCTCGTGAAAGCGCCGGCTGCTCGCTAGTCGCGCGCATGAACTCTTCGCGCTGGTAGTTACGAGCGCTCTCAGGGAATTTCCTCCAGACCGTTGAGAAGCCCCAATACGCCACGGACATATCTGATACGCCACGGACATATTAGATGCATTTAGCTTCCTCACGTGTGAGGCATCCTAGCTCACGTGCGGAGCTGTAAAACCGTGAGCGACACCACCGCGCATGCAACTGTGTAAACATCAACAACTGTGCGCAACTGTGTGCGCCACACTGTCATCACGTGCGAGGCCGTGGGCTGTTTTGCGTGGCTCAGCGAAACGCCCGGGCTTGCTGAGCGCGCCTCTGCACAGGCCCTGCGCCAACCCGACCGGCCGGCCATTACGACGGCGGGGAGGGGGCCGCGGGACCTTGAGTGGTCCTGCCTGGCGGCCGGCGCGCGCGGCCGGCGCGCGCGGCCGGCACACCCGCCAACGAGAACCTCCAGACGCCGCCACCGGCGCAGCCAGGACCGAAGGATGGAGCGGGGCGCACGCCTGCGCTGTGACCGAAGGCAAGGGGACGGGGAGGGCTGGCCGAGTTGCGTGGCCGCCGTGCTGGTGCATGCATCAAAAGAAAATAGCCGCATGTTGCGACTTGGGTTACGTGGTGAACTCAATGCAGTTCGGGGTGCCGAGGCACACGAGAAAAACATCTCACCTGTTCTAGTGTCGCGGAAGGATTGAGATGAGGTATTCGTACAACGATGGAATAATCGTTTGGACCACAGTCCCGTCTGGTGTGTCAATACGCACAGGATGTTTGTTCTCATGAACTCTCCGGCCGTCACCTGGTGTTAAGGAGTCCTCAGAACTGGATAATGTTTGGGTTTCAGCCATGTATGCTACAGAAGAATACATAGGGCGCTTACAGTGAGGTTGTAACGTTTCAACGAGCTGGACATGTTGCTTCCAGCATATTGTGCAATTTTGCAATATATTTTTCTTTTTTTCAAAATGCTTCTCCGGGAGTAGGTGTGCTATGTGAGATTAAATGAGGTGATTCTTGGGTTTCGCTAAGCTTCTTTTAATCGCAAATAATGGTACGGTATCCCGCAATTTTCGCAGCAGTTTTCCATCTTGATCGAGGGGTTTTCAGCTTCCTGAAGCAATTCAT